GGGTTAACCGACAGCTTCAGGGCAGACAAGAGAGAAGCCGCCACTATGTGGTTGCCATTAGCGATGGCAGCAGCTGCCTCAGAAAGAAGCTGCCGTGATGAAGCCGCTGAGATCGGTGGCGAGCTAGACGCTGACGACGAAGCCGTGGATGAAGAGGAGTTCGTCGGGGACCGCGCCAATAGCGCGGTGTTGTTCACGACGGTCAGCAGGGGAAGCGACGGTGACGATGCGGCGGTGACGGAGTTAAGCCTCTGGATCGTGTCACCCCAATCGGAGGTCATGAAACCCGAGCCGCAACCGCTCCCTGCCGCGTTCGCCCCGCCGTCCTCACCATCTCCTTCGCCGTGACGAGCACGAGCCCCGGCGAGCGACGCCGCCCCGTGCCGCTTCGCCACGTCCTTGCCGTCCTCTACCGCTCCCGCCACAAGCGTTGCTCGCCGCCGCCGCCTTCCACCTCCCTACCCCCTCCACTGCCGCTGAGGGAGGGATGGACGACGGCCTGTAGACGACGGGAGCATGGCGGCGTTGGAGTGAAGATAGAGAGAAGAGAAGAGAGATGTGATAGCTAACATGTGGGCCCAAGGGCATTTTTTTGACATTTCACGTGATTTCTTTCTCCTCTTCAACCAGAAATTATTATTCTAATCGGCGCGGTGTCCATTGGCAAATTACCATGTCTATGAAGTGTTTTCCCCCAAAAGTGAGTTCGGGCGGTGTCCTACGGCTAAAATCACAAAGTCGAAGTGTCCTGTAGCAAAATTTACCATTTATTTATTATACGCTAACAAAGTAAGAGAAACTATGACTGCCGCATGTAACACATGTATATAAATATGTAATTTCCAGCTGAAATACTTGCCGTGTGGATGCCAGGGATAACTGTTTCAGCTGCAGGATATATGTACGATGTCTTCTACAGTAAATTGAATAGCGATAGCAATGTCTCGACTACTAGATCTTAATCTGTTCTCTGAACAAACGCGAATCCGCTTGAGTGTGATATATATTGATGAGATCTGTCCCACCATTTTACTAATTAGTACATGATGCACGTGACTAATTCGTGTTATTTGACTTTAAAATAAACATATAGTTTAGGGCAAAGAAGCACACCACATTAATAAACAGATAGTATCTCGAATTATACATGATGCACCAGTGCTAACTACTGCGCAACTTGCATAGTTCTATATATGTCTCAAGAAATTGCAACCTCTAGTTGCATACCTGCTTGTTTTGCACTGCTAATTCAAATTGGTCATTTTCAGAATATTAATGGTTTATTTGGTTGTGTGCGTGAAGGCAGTTCGATCTGTACAAACCACATGCCGTATAGGACCATAACCAAATATTTGACCAGAAATGGTAGAACCGGTAAAGATTCTCTTAACTAGCTAGCTCAGCAGAAGGGAGGACCAGATTCGGACTTTCAGTCATCATGACAAGATGAAAAAGCAAAATGCTGATGTATGAGCTGATATTCTGGACGATTTCACGCATAATTCTAAAGAAAACAAAAGAAGAAAAGAGTAAAGAACAGGTTTAGCAGCAGCGTTCTATCCCCTTTTAGGTAAAAAATATCTGCTTTGATCTTCTGCTCAACTTCACAACCGATTTCGATCACATATTCACACATATGACAAAAAAAAAACATTTGTTAGCTTACCTACGCTGTAACTAAAAATGAACAGATCTGATGAACTCCTCACAAATCTCCACAAAAAGGGTGTGGTAGTTGGGGAAAAGGAAATTTGTTGGTGTCACATAGAACGTTTGACCGGATGTCGGAAGGGGTTTTCGGACACGAATAAAAAAACTAATTTCAGAACTCACCTGAAAACCGCGAGACGAATCTTTTGAGACTAATTAAGCCGTCATTAGCACATGTGGGTTATTGTAGCACTTGTGGCTAATCACGGACTAATTAGGATTAAAAGATTCGTCTCGCGATTTTTTCCATAACTGTGTAATTAATTTTTCTTTTTATCTATATTTAATGATTAATGCATGTGTCCAAAGATTTGATGTGATGTTTTTGAGAAAAAATTTTAGAGAACTAAACGGGCCCAAAGACCAGACACAAGCAGTGACACAACACTGCCACTTGGACCCAGCCGGCCTCTCGCCGTCGAACTCCCAACGCAGCAGCCGCTTCGGTGGCACCGAACCCAACGCTTCAGGCACAGATCTCCGCCACAACAGCAGCAGCAGCTACAAGTACTCCTACTACTGGTTAACTGGTCAGGTGAATGGTCAGAGCTGCAGCCGAATAACGACTCGACACTCGACAGAGCGGCAGCCGCACAGGGCATATTTTCTGCCAGTGTCAGTGCCAGTGGGCAGAAGCCGCCCACGTCGGCCGTCCTCTACTCCTCTTCCCTCCAATTAGCTGAGGCCACAGGAGAGGGAGGGGGAGGAAGCGGTTGCTGTCACGGCACAACTGTCTGTGTAGGAGAAAAATCGGTTGGTGTGGCCACCACCACCCTATCTACCGCCCTGCACTGCTGCATCTGGCATCTGCTACATTCATGCACGCCGGTCACTGTTGTGTTGAGCCGGTTGATGCGGAATTTTGGTCGTTAGGAGTAGCCTAACTAGTCTGCTCTTAAGTGTGGCCATCAGATTAGAGTATTGATCAGCGATCATGGTTACAGAAGTACAGAAGTACTAGTAGTGCTTTTCTCTTTAGATCCTTCGTCGTTTAATTTTTCCGTAAAAATTGAAAGGTGGAATTAAGACTGTATTACAAGAGTTTTAATTTGGTTAAAAATAGTACTCCTAGCAAACTCCTCCGAAATCTTTGCAGAGTTGTTAATTATATTTGAGACCTCGTCAATCCAACACAATATTTTCTTCTTTTTTTTTCGTTTTCTATTTTGCTGGAATTTATTGGACACTTTGTAATGAAATTCTTGTGTCCAAAGGGCTTATACGATCAAGTGGTCTAAATGGATAAATTAATTACTTAGAGACTATTTATGCTAAAGCAACAAAAATAATCGTTATCTACATCATAATTAGTCCAAACGGAATATACACTTTGTGGGTCTTTACTTGCACACCATACTTGCTTTTGTCTCCTGTATCTTGTTCTTCTGGATCCCATATCTTTTCTCTTCTGTGCCAAGGTGCCGGCAAAGGCATCCCCAAAACAAATAAAAAAATCATAGACATCACAACTAAACGTGCAGCTTGTCTTAAACAAATGCAGGTTAATAAGCCAAGAAGGGATTATGTTAGCCGCTAAATATCTCGTGGAAGATCACTCCCAAGGTGCTTCCCGTCGCAGAACAAGATCAATTATCTCACCACCTAATTAATTAACAACACATCTCAAGCCAATTGCGTCAAGAAATAAACATATATAAAAGACAAGCATGTGTCACACACGATCCAGGAAAGCAATTTAATTAGCAGTTAACGGTGTGATTAAAATCTGAACTCGTGATTAATAATCTGGTGGCTAGTTAATTAGCACCATCAATTTAATTCCATGTTGGCCTCGTTGATCTATGTGTGGTTATATAATAATTATTTTGCAAGGACGCAAGAAAATTTCAATCTGGTGCGCCTTGTGCTGGAGTAGCATTGCCACTAAAAACCAAATCTGCAAGCACAACGCTGATCTGCCCCAACTGTGTTGTTAGGTTAAGCTGTACCCATTCTAGGATTGATACGTACAATAAATGCAGATAGAGGGAGAGACTTCTTTGTTTATTGACAACCACATATGGGTGGAGGTAGACACATATTAGGTTTAGAGAAAAAAAATAAGCACGGGAAAAGAACTATGGATTATTATGGCCCTCTTTTTTTAGGCTTAGTCTGATTGGCCTAGACTTTTAAGTCAGCTTATTGGTTTATATGATTTATAAGCCGGTGGATTTAATGTCCTAAGTTTAGTAGTTGAGTCATACATCTACCTCACATAAGCCAAAAAAGCTTCTCCAATCTAGCTTTTGGCTTAATAGTGTTAGAGTGGCTTATGGCTTCAGAAAAGCCAAACGGAAAAGCTGCTTGTTTGTTTAGACTTAGACTTTTCGACTTATAAGTTGGCTTATAAGCCTAAACAAAGAGGGCCTATACTTATTTGTTATTAGTGGCAATGATATGTATTTCACATGGCACTATACATTAATTAGTAATTAGCTACTCCCTCCGTCCCACAATATAAAGGATTTTAAGTTTTGCTTGCAACGTTTGACCACTCGTCTTATTCAAATTTTTTTTGCAAATATAAAAAACGAAAAGTTGTGCTTAAAATACTGTGGATAATAAAATAAATCACAAAAAAATAAATAATAATTTTAAAAAAATTTGAATAAGACGAGTGGTCAGACGTTGCAAGCAAAAACTCAAAATCCTTTATATTATGGGACAGAGGGAGTACTACATCTCCTATATATTGTCTGTGCATTATATAAAAATATATATACTGGTTGAGAGACAACTAAATGTATAGTGATGTGCCACATTCCAAATGAGCCTTGATATCTTGGGAATTAGGCCCAAGTTCTCAATTGATCGTGCATCCACAAACTGTTTCTTCAAAATGATAGCTGACTTACTTTAATCAGACATCAAATGATTAATTACTAGTACATATGATACCAGAAATGAAATCTCTCTGTATATAAAGGGAGATGCTACCTCTGTTTTTTTTAATTTTGTAGCAGCAACAAAATTAAGTGTTAATATCAGCATCAGGAAACTGAAAGGAGGAAGATATAACTAACTACCTAGATTGCCTTCCCCTTAAAAAGAACATAATATAATCATGGCGATTCTTGGGTGCAAAGCTAAAGGTTACTTCTAGAGAGAAAGGATGGAGACTTGTCAAGCAATTGGGTGATGCTTAAACTATGGTGAGAGAGTTGTGTTCTTTTGCTTGTAGAGCGACACTAGTCCAAATAGCTAGGTCGCTGAAATCAATAGGAAAGGTCTGTCCGAGAGAAACTCCAGATTAAAGCTAGAGTGTGGCCATAATGAGTGGCACAACACAACTAACTACTTCAACTAACCTCTTCCATTTTGTACCCCTGATATATAACTTCACAAAATGAACCTATGTAGTATGAACTTATTAATACCACAGCAGATTTAGTTTAGGAATTCTGACATGTATCCAATACCCTCTACCCTATCCGTTCTCAACTATCTAAAATTCTTACTCATGTACTAGTACCCAACCCCACCAGAATACGCAACCCACCAATTAAAAACAAAAGGCATTTCCAGCCACATGAGCTTGGCAAAACCACAAGACAACATGGACAAGTGTCCCCTTCTAGCTACCATGATTAAAAAAGAAAAAAATAAGAGATAGAGAAAAATATTCCTCCTCAAGTCCTAATATTTTGTTAGGTAGCTCCCCCTCCCCTTCCAAAACTTGCGTCCACCACTCATGTGTGGCCAAGTGGAGAATCCCCCTGTGCCAGCTTGGACTCTCTCATCTCACCCCTTTCTTTGCCTTGTTGCTTTGGTTGGACAGCCTACACTTAACCACATTCCCTTGCCAAAGCATCACCTCCTTCCCACCCCTCCTATATATGCACAAACACACATATACTCCGCACAAACACACATATACTCCACATATCCAGCTGCAGTTGCCTCTTCTACGCTACCAACAACAACAACGACGACAACAACAACAAGAAAGCGCACAACAACAACAAGAAGAAGAGGAGGCAACAAGGAGGAGTTGAAGTGGAAGCTTTCAGCTCACCTCTGCTCCCATTCTTGCGCTTTCTCGGAGCGCAGGAATGGGCGCGATCGGGGAGTGGCGGAGGGGGCCGGTCATCGGCCGCGGCGCGACGGCGACGGTGTCGATCGCCACGGACCGCCGGACGGGCGGCGTGTTCGCGGTCAAGTCCGTGGACGTGGCGCGCGCCGGCGCGCTCCGGCGCGAGCAGGGCATGCTCTCTGCTCTGGCCTCGCCGTTCGTCGTGCCGTGCGTTGGATCCGGCGTGTCGGCGGCGGTGGACGGGAGCGGCGGGGCGTGCTACGATCTGTTCTTGGAGTATGCGCCCGGCGGATCGCTTGCCGATGAGATCAAGCGGTGCGGCGGCCGGTGCGAGGAGCCCCTGATTCGGTCGCGGGTGGGCGATGTCCTGCGCGGGCTGGCGTATGTCCACGCCGCCGGGATCGCGCACTGCGATGTCAAGGGCCGGAACGTGCTCGTCGGCGCCGACGGGCGCGCGATGCTCGCCGACTTCGGGTGCGCGCGCTGGATGGCGGCCGAGGACTGCAATGCCGGCGGCGTGACGATCAGGGGCACGCCGATGTTCCTGGCGCCGGAGGCCGCGCGCGGCGAGGCGCAGGGGACGGCCGCGGACATCTGGGCACTCGGGTGCACGGTCATCGAGATGGCCACCGGTGGCGCTCCGTGGCCGCGGTTTGCCGACCCCGTCGCCGCGCTCCACCACGTCGCGCACTCCGTCGACGTCCCGGAGTCCCCCGCGTGGTTCTCCGCCGAAGGGAAGGACTTCCTGGCGAGGTGTTTGATCAGAGACCCAGCCAAGCGGTGGACGGCGGAGCAGCTGCTCGAGCACCCGTTCGTCGCCTCCGCGGCATCCGATTCCACATCCAAGGCCGTGCAGATCGAGCAGCGCGTTTCCCCCAAGAGCATCCTCGACCAGTGCCTGTGGGAGTCCACCTCGACGGACTCCGACGCCACGGTGGCGCTCGCCCCCGCCGACCGTCTCCGCGCATTGTCCGCCGGCGCGTCCGTCGCGCCCGACTGGACCTGGAGCATGGACGACTGGATCGCCGTCTGCGGCGGCCGCGCCGACGACCACGACACCACGCCGTCGCCACAACCCGACACCACCACCAGCTTCTTCCGCGGCGATGAGGCTTCGTCAGACCTTGTCTTCCCCGGAGGCGGTGAGCTCGCGGCCGCCGCCGACGGCCCGCGCGGCCACGACGACGACGACGACGACGACGACCACGGCGTCTCGAGCTCACCCTGCAGCTGGCGCCGCAGTAACAGCGCGATTAGTGGCTGTAATAATCGCAATAATAATAGGTGCTGTAACTTTACACAGACAAAGCAATGGAGTATCAAGTTGGTTAAACCCTCCCCGCGTCCGAGCTGGCAGCCGATTTAATTACTTTCCCGCGTGCCGTTTCGACCGCCCGCGCCCACTTTTTCACCTTTTCGGCGGTGTCCTTTTCCGTCACGTGCCGGGCGTGAGACGTAATTAGGAGGCTACCACTACACCCTACTCCCTACTAGAACAGGTTACGGCCTCTGACAGGTGGGGCCCAAGGAAGCGTACTGCAAACACGAGTCGGTTTAGAAATTTTAATTAGGCGTGGTGTGGTACTACTATTAGTTGCGCCTAATCGTGTTGGTTTTGGTTGAATTTTGGCATGAGGTTTGCGAGGGGGAATTGGGGTTGGGTGACGTGCAACCACCTGGGCCAAGAAGTTTTTGGGTGCAGGTGAGACTGAGAGAGGCGCCGTTGCGGTTGCGGCCACTGTGCCATTGATGGCGAAAAGCAGCGAGATTACGGGAGTTGAACGGTCGATCGAGAGTCGCGTCGCGTCCGGGTCCGGCTAGCCAAGATGGTTGGTTCGTTGGTTGGTTGAGTCGTCGGCGTCCGTTGCTCGCTGAGACCCACACCGATTCGTCCATTGATAGTTTGCTACACTTGACATGTACCCTTGGTTGTACCTGAGCTGCTATAGGAACGGCAGATGCTTTTGGGCGAAAATGTTGGTACGGTTTTTTCTCCCTCTGCTTAGCGTTAGTGCTAGTGTTAGGATTGGGTGATGCAGTGGCCTTGCCTTACTATGCCATTATTTAGGAGGAACCAAGAGTCAAGTCGAGAGCAGGAAGCAAACTGGAGTAGCTAGCAGGGCCTAAAGTACGTGAAGGCTACGCAATCGATAGCTATATGTTCCCTAATTAAGGAAGGCCCAACAGCGATTATTGAGACAGTGCTCCATTTCTTTAAATATTACGTATAAGCTTTTAATTATTCCTATATAGTAGTATTTTTTTTACGCAGAAAGTGCACACAGCCACCCACACACACCCATCTAAGCAAACTATTAGGGTGCGTTCTGCAGCGGTGGGAGTTTCAAAGTTTTAGAGAGTTTAATGGTACAGTAAACTTTATCTCTAAATCATTTATAGCTAATCTAATACCCAATTCAATTCGTACAACGGTTACCTATAAATATGTACTACACCATTAATATCTAATTCCACATCTCATATACACATAACATTTTGGAATACGTATCACAATTGGCTATAAATCTGTAGCTCATTTCTCATCTCTCTCTTATCTTCTTCATATATGCTTATAGATGACTTATAGTCTGCTATTGTACTTGCTCTTATATATATACTTTCTTTTTTTTTGCAATTTTATTTTTAAGTGAATTTATTAGAGCTGCATATTTTTTATGGTAAATACACACATATATAAAAATGGTTCTACACTCCTCACTGTACATCAGCAACGATTCCAAATCAAAGCTGGTACAGGGTCCAACCACCGGACCTGTTTTGATTTTCATGGATAAAAAAATCATCTTAATCAGCAACACTATAATTTTGACAAATTTGATCTTATATTTGTAACATGTGAGATCATGCCTTTGGCGTTTAGGATTGTAAAATTTAATTTTCATTTTTCAAGATAAATGGAAAATTATCCTCTCTTGTGCATCATAACAAACCAATAATTACAAAACTTGCTTGAATATAACACACACAGTATCTATGTACTTTTAATAAAAGAAACTGTAACACAGTATATAAAATGAACAAATTAATGGTGATTAGTGAAACACACCATTACATTTTTGATGTGTTTCAATCAGGTTCGGAGCACCCAAATTTAGGTGCCAATGGAAACGTCCCCCTTACACATAAGTAGTACAGTAGCTGGAAGAAGAAGGGTGCCTACCCACAATTGGGCGACAGATTCAGCTCACGCACCTTAATTTGATGGACACACGCGTTCCAGGTGCGCGCACGGATTCGTCCGGTTAAAACACAAACATCACCGGAGGTCGGACGACGGACGGAGGTGCATGCACATGCGTGCATGAATGAGTTCACGCGGCTCGCGCGCGCGCGCGCGAGGCACTCTTGCTCTCGTTAATTTGGGCCAGTGTCACGCACCTACTTACGTGCCGCTAATCCGCACAACGTACGCATGCACACACACAAGGGCCAGAGGAAAACGTGCACGCGGCGTGAAAACGACCGGCGGAATCAAGCGAGAGGCTAGCGTCAAGCCTTCCGAATTCTGATCGATGGCGAGTCGCGTGCGTGCGGTGCGGCCGATCGACGGGCGATCGAGTCGAAATGGATGGATGGATGGATATGTTTGGTCGCAAGCACACTCCATGCCAACAAGTGCCGTACAAGCCTCCCTTCCCCCCTTCCCGAACTGCCGGTGATTGGCTGATTGGACCTTTTGGAGTTTGGACTCTCCACTCTCGCCGCGCACACACGATTAATGCGATGATGCGAGAATGATTATTGGTGGCACATATAGCCATCGCACCATCACGGGGTTGCTCTACAATCAAGCATAGCTTCCTCTAGGCTCTAGAGCGTCCTTACCACTGTTTTGTCTATCTATTTCCTCCATGAATAAATTTATCTTTCACCACCTTATTTGTTTTAAAATAACTTTATCTTTCAAGCAATTAGAGTTTGTAGAGTGAAAGACAAATTCATTAGAGCAAGTTTTATAGTGAATGATACTACTATCTTTAAATTTAGCCATATTATCTCTAGTGCACAAACTCCCAAATTTTCTTTTTTTTTTCATTTTCACACTAGAGATCGTATAGAGGTTGTTTCTTACATGAAAGGTGGGCCTATTCTCTCTTCCTCACTTCTCTCCTCCACCTCATCGTTTGCAAAAATAGCTAAAGATACCTTAAGTTTATTCTCGCCTACGAAAATCGATGTTCACAGGCGTGGTCTTAAGACGCATGCCTAAAAAATAACTTATAGGCGGACCTTTAAGACAACGCATGTGAAAATTGATTTTCACAGGCGAGACCTTGAGACGTCTGCCTGCACAAAGTTAGGCCTCATAAAATCCACCTCCGGCCGAGCTCCACCCGCTAAGTCCTCCTTCCCTTCACTCACTCACCTCACCCTCTACCCACCTCCCCTTCCCTTCACACCCTTACCCTCCACCATCCGGCTGGAGGAGGGAAGGGCCACAGTGGCGGCCGAGGCGGCGCAGCCCTCCCCTCCCTCCCTCCCTCCTAGATCCGACCGGAGGAGGGAAGGGTTGTGGAGGCGGCCACAACAAGCAGCGGCGGAGGCGGCGCTCCCCTTCCCTCTCTCCATGCTCCTAGATCTGGTCGGAGGAGGGGAGCGACGGTGGCGGTGGAGGCGCTCCCCTCTCATCCCTCCCTCCATCCCTCCCTCGTAGATCTAGTGGAGGACGGGAGCGATGGTGGTGGTGGCCACCGCATGCAGCGGTGGAGGTGGCACTCCCCTCCCTTCCTCCCAGATCCGACCGAAGGAGGGAGCGATGGTGATGGCGGCCACCGCAGGCGATGGCGGAGGCGACTCTCCCCTCTCTCTAATTAGTATATTGATGTGGTATTGTTCCTTACATATATTGATACTCTTCACCACGCCGATACTGATGAAGTTTTTGTTGATATTGATGTGACTCGTCATGCCGATACTGATGTGATTGCCCCCTGAGCTGAATTCCTCGATCGATTAATTCATCAATTCCTTTCTTGTTCAAATTCTACAATGTGTTCATCAAAACTTCAGGTTGATTGAACAAAGCATGCATGATGAATTGCCTTATTCACTGTATGTTGAAATGTTTCAACCATCAATATGGGGAATTGAGTCTTATGAATCAGACCCTGTTGCATCATGACAAAAGATTGAAGACAACACTTTTAAAAATCAGCCACAAATTGCTCCACCTGTTGCTTCTGTTCTTCTGTCAAATTCTCCATTCTAACCGGGATCTTGGAATCAACTTCTTCTTCAGACATGTTGGAATAAATTTTGTGTCCTACCAGGCGTGCCAATTTATGTTGACGTGAAATTTTGTTGTGACACATGAAGACCTGAGAGATTTTCTTAACTCTAGTGCATGTCCTGAAATATCGGGCGTGCCAGTTAGTTTGATCCTACAACTGACAAGATAGATAAATTGATGATTAAAAGAGCCGATCGGCCAATAAGCCGATGTAGCGATACTAACCGATGTCGATAGGATTTTGGACAATCCGCTATACATCCGATGTAGATTCTAACACTTAGATTAGGACAATGGAAGAACTTGAACAAATGATCTAATCGGCCGATGATAATATGATGAAGCAGATGTCCAATGAACCAATCAATCGGCCGATATTGACATAGAATATTTAAATGTAGACTTGGTTAAAGCATACAATGGCTGGAAGTCCGATTAAAAAAATTACTTATCGGCTAGCACTCCGATAAAATGTAGCACAAATCTATGAACTTAACAAGACTTAAATTATTAGTAGTAATATTGAAGATCGGACCTAACCGAGATAGTTGTAGATTATGTCTGATCAAATAAGCTAGATAAGTCGATAGATCTATGCTAACATGATGGATATAATAAATCTATTTAAAATAACATTATGATTATAGTGATGTATTGGCTAAGACAAAAGATCAAACTAAACCGAGACAGTCACAAGTAAATCGATGTGTCACAAAACACGATGCAATTAAAGGTAGAATTGAAATATCGGGTAGGCAAATATACCAATCGAACCAGTTCAATCCAAGAGATTGAAGCGATGCAGCCTTGAACAATGCCGATATAGCTGATACAATGGCTAGGGCCGGCGGAACTTAGGCCTTACCCCTTCACCGAAGATAGAAGCGATGCAACCCTGCGTCGGATGCCATGTTCCGTCAGTGATAAAAACCTCGAAAAAGAGGGTGACGATGCGCCGAGAGATGTATTGATCGAGAGATATTTTACAATGACCCTGGGTGTACACATTAATACCCATGGGTAGATACTAGTCTTTATTGGACAAGACACAGACTTTCCTAAAGATAAAGTAAAAGATATAAGTATTGATCTAATTCTAAACAATCTTTCCTAAAAATAAAAAACAAAACTACCTGACTCTGCTAATTTCGGTTAAGGAAATTAATCAATTGCAGGAAGCTTATCCAGAAGCGACCGAGTTCAAGAAAGAATCGTAAAGACTATGGCATGGCGGCATAAGTTTATCTATTAATTAGAAAAAAATTGTTAGTTTCCGTTTATCTTTAGGAAAGTGTGTTTAGTGTCCGATAAGGACTTTATGTTTTCCTTTTATCTTTAGGAAAATTTCTTTCTTGTCCAATAAGGACTAGTATCTACCCATGGGTATAAATATGTACACTAGGGGTCATTATAAACTATCTTCCGATCAATAAAATTACTCTCGATGCATCGCCACCCTCTTTCCCGAGGTTTTTACTTACACGACTGAACTTGGCACCTGATGCGGGGTTACATCGGCTTTCGATCTCCGGCGAAGGGGCAAGTCCTACGTTCCGCCAGCCGTAGCAATTGTATCGGCTACATTGGTGTTGTTCAAGGTTGCATCGCTTCGACCTCTTGGATCATTCTGGTTCGGTTGATATTTTTGCCTACCTATTTATCATATATCTTAGTTGATCTAGTTTAGCATCTTAATTTAATCATATCGGCTAAGATTCGTTTTAGAGTTTATGCTGGTATCAGCTAAATTATCTTGCTAGATTAGATTAACTAAGGTATCCACCACCCTGAAAATAGTCAAAGTCTTGATTGTTTAGACTTTATGCTTCTTTGCATACTTTTGTGATGCATCATTACTAGTCGTGCTTAGAATCATAAAGGCTAACCTGTCTTTGGTTATAATAAGAGTTTCATTCGGGTTTCAACCGATGAGTTATCTGGACGTTACATTGGCTTACAAGGATTGTATATAAGTTGGTTTTAGCCGATTGCAACAAAGGTTTCATTGAATATCGAATCTTGTGGATTTTATGACATCGGATCTCCAGCCAAAGTATGCTTTAACATTTGGATTAGTGTTTATTCTATTATATCATTATTAGCCGACTAGTTTCTAATGGATTATATTATTGTTTTATTATATTACCATCAGCCGATTGTCTTTGTATCGTTATCTACATGGAACATATAGCCAATTGCTCAAAACCCTATCGACATCGGCTAGTATCGACAATGGCTGGAACTATTCCATCGGCTTGTTAGCCGATCGGCTATTTGATCTATTGTTTACTTATCTTCTCAGTTGCAGGATCAAACTGACTGGCACGCCCGCATCTCATCAATATTTTGGACCTAAACTGGAGCTAAATAGAACTTCCGAGCCGTTGCTGTTATCGACTTAGTTCGCGCCAACATAGTTCTGGCACCATCGGCCGAGCGCGGATTTCCCGACAACAATACCATTGTAGCGACCCTCGTATTCCACTTCCAAGGTAGAATACCGGTCTACGGCTCATTCCTTAGTAAGAATTAACTTACCGAGAAATGAGCACACCAGAGTAGCATAGCAGAAACAATTGTAGCGAAACCCATTAAATAAAAACCATAGAAAATAGCTTTTATCAACATAATAACTAAATTTATCTCAACAACAATTTCCAACAATTTCCAATAATGATCTTTATCTTGACTTGATACTGACCATGCTTTACTTCATATACAACTCCCGAATTTTTCTCCTTGCTGTTCATCTTCCAAGAGAACCTTTTCGACGCCTAAAGAGTTAGCTCAAACATCTACAAAGGATAATATATATATGGGATGAGTACGAATGGTACTCAACAAGTCCAACTATAGCAATCCAACAAATACATGCCCATAATCCACTTGCATAATACATATATCTCCAAATCCCATAATCCAACAAGGAATTTTATGCATGTTCATAAAACAGTGTAGTAAAAGCTCATATTAAGTAATTATAAAATCTACTGCATATAAAGCACCACAGGTATTAGAACCTCCGATAGGTTCCTTTCCTGCCGCGTTCACGGTTTCTATCCGAAACAGGGAGTGACATATCACAATTCGTACACTCTGCAGAGGTGTGTCGCTGTACCCACAGATGCCTTAAACCTTTTAATGCCCACGCCCGTCGGCGCTTGAAGCACACTTCATGGTGTATGCCGGCAAGGCTAAGGTCACAAGCTTTTCATCAATCCCATTTGGCAATTATCTCTGCGGGTGATTCCCGCAACAACGGCGAATCATCGGATCCCACAACAACGGCGATCCACATCATCTAATCGGATTCCGCAACAACGGCAACCCTCATCGCTAGCCCACGCTCACGGGATTCGCGGAAGTCCTTAAGTCCGCAGGATAAAGCCATTAAGAAAGAACTACTAAGCCAGCCTGTCCCATTCCAGGTCATATGGTCGACACGATCGCTACGGCGCTTGAATGTTATATAACAGTTGTTGTTTAACCTTATGATGATAAATATATGCAACTGAACCCCCACCATCATGGCAAGTTCAGAATACATCTATAGTATGACCGACTGCTCCACCAGTCAATCCAATCCATCAGCATATTTATTTTAATCATAGAAATTATAATTTAATGCAATGTGATACATATAGATTGCAATTACAAAAATATAACAAGAGATGTTCAAAGATGTTGGACTTGCCTGAGATACCCACAATCGAAGAACGAATAAATCATTGAAGAACTCCAAGAAATCCAAGATAAATATCCAACTGTAAAAATATGACGAATTAAAACTAAAACCAAGAATGTAGATATTAGTATGATGCACATGATATGTCTAACCTTAATATCATAGCTGATCTACAACACTATAGGTTATTGACTCTCACCTCAAGACTCAACTAGATGAACCATATATATTTTTAAGTTAAATATAGTTAAATATATTTGTATGTTTTGATTCGGTAAAGATCTATGATTTATATAACAAAATTGGACTAAAGTATATAGTGTTAAAACAAACATCATTACACTTTTATTTTTAAGAGAGTAATTATTTAAATTGAAAGAAGTTTTACCTTATTTGAGAGAGATTTATATTCAATAATCAATAATAATTAAATTCAATAATACACCTATATACAGCCCACATGTAAAAGCCCACTACACCACCTTCTTCATCTTATCTCTTTTTCCTCGTTCTCCCCTTCTCTCCCTCACGGCTCACGCTCTCCCAGTGCCGCCGCTTCTTAGGCAGCGCCGGCGACGCCGCCGCTCTCCCTAGCGCCGGCTACCGCGCCCCACTCCGGCGACCCCTCAAGCAGATGTCCCGCAGCCGCGAATCGGTTTATTGGCTCCACGCTTCTCTGCCCCTAAGCTAACCCCAGCCACCAGTCTCCTGCTGCTGCTGCCGCCGTGGAGATGGCTGGTGGAAACACAGCGCAACTCCGGTGGCTGCATCCCTTTCCCCCATAGGTGAGCTACCTATTCCATCCTCCCATATCTGATTCCTATTGTGATGTACTAGTGTGGTGCCCTCTCTTGTATGGTGTTGTTATGTAAACTGTGATGTACTGGTGATGTTTGTGAACTTGTCCTAATGAATACTTAGGGTTGTATTTACTGGATCTAGGGTTCTTGAGAAATTGGCTTGCTAAGATGGATGATGCCTATATGTTCATGATGAATGAATGCTGACATGAATAGGCCTATGAATTGCATTACTGAAATTTAAATCACACTAACATCATTGGTCCTTATATATGCATACATGTTTAATTGACTGAATCTTCTGAAGTTAGTGACATACTAGCAGGATCAGATCTTTAACTAAAATCTTATTTAATGATGAAGCAATTTACATGGTTCCACACTTGGAATATCATGGGAAGGTCTGGACTATAACTAATTAAATTATCACCTATGAAACATTATCATGAATACAAATTGATGGCAATTTATTCCTCTATATGCTCTACTGCTACTGCCTCTTGTGTTCTGTTTATCATCTCCATATGCTGTAGTGATTAATAACCCAATTTATAAATTACTTTATTACAATGGTTGATGAGGACAGTAATTAAACTATTGGTAAACTAATTATATATATGCAACTTATCCAGATGCTATGTTCTAAATCTAAACAGTTGCTATAGACTATATACTATAGAAATCTATGGTTTTCTACTCATAATCTTATCACCCCAATTTGATTCTTTTTACTGGAACACACTACTCATCTTCTATATCTGTATATGCACATGTCAATGTTATGCCCTGTTTACATGACTAGAATCTGAAAGCTTATAAGTTCACATGCATGATTTGGTTCTTCTATACATGCTCTATTCCTAAATAATTTATGTCATGAACACCAGTTGATTTTATTCAAGAATTATAGCTACATACGCTTATTGTTACTATTCAGATTTCTTCTATGATAATTTATATATGTCAGGATTTAAAGACATGCATTTATCTTTAACTTTATCCCAAAATTTTGTTACTTTTATTCATTTAGTATTGCCAAGGTTTTTGTCAAGATGGATGGTATATATATATCTGCATGAAACTCTAGCTCTAACAAATGCTGTTAATATGTATGCAGGATCTACTCTCCTCCCCTATTTTAATTTTTTGGTTACCTCGGTTGATTCTACCGTGATTGAAAAATGTGTGGTTCAGCTCCTCCTCCAGAACTCCAAGTCTTCTCTTCTACTGCTGCTCTTCTGGATCTAAGGTGATTTTGCTAGAACTGAGCTTCTCCACCTTGAGCTTGACTGATTGTTTCCCCCCTCTTGAACTGAACCCCCATGCTCTACTTGGAACTCAGGTAATTCTCCTCCTTGGCTCTTGCTCTACTGGTAATATTTGACTGCTTCCTGACATCTTCCTTGATCTGCTTCTGGTGATTCTCTTCCTCCTCTTCAGACTGATCCTCTTGCTTGATTTTCGCTCCATCTTGCTTCTTGACCTGAGTTTCATCTCTTCCTAGAGCTGAAACCCTTCTTCATCCAAGAACTAAACAACCCTGCTTCTCCTTCAGATTTGGTTTTCCTCTCTCTGATTACTTGGCCATGGTTACTACTACTGTTGGTTCATGTATTGGTTTGAGCTGGACTTCAGTTGAGCTATTTCTCTCTGGGTGGAGCTAACACTTAAGCTAATTTTTCCTGGAGCTTGGTTCTATGGTTGTAACTACTACTGCCGCAGCTGCTGCTTGTTTTGGTTTGCACGACCAACCCGAGACTTGGGTTGGAAATGATTCACACAAATTATTTTATCAATGATAAATATTGTACTGGTGATTCACCTGCTTGCATGGCTATTCCCATCCTGTACTTGTGACACCTCAACATGGCTTGTTCGGTGGGATAACCTAAAGCTATTTGTTAATTTCCTTAATTAATGGAAAATTGGTAGAGTCTGAGGTGTTTGATACTTTTGCACTTGAATCCCTCAAGTCTGGTAAAATTGGAGGTTACCATTAGTTTAGGGACTGATTTGTAATTTGTTCTATAACGCAGGGTCCCTTTTTGAAATATTACTAATTACACGATATGTTCTCGGCTAATGTATTTGTACAATATATGAAATGCATACTGTATAATAAGATTTTAAATATATAACTATATCCATGTATGTATGGATGGTTGCAAAACTGTACTGGTCAATTGTGAATAAAGTGCTATAGCTTCCATGGTGATTTCTATTGTGCATAAGTGTTCCGCTCTTAGTGATGACTAATCCATGCTATAATTCAACCAAAACTAAATTATCCCGCTCCTCACCATGTTTAGTCTAACTAATAATAAATCAATGATTCATATTGATATGACTAAATGAATAAATGACAAAGAAACAACCGAGAAACCATTTAATATCCAAAATAGAACAAAAAATCAATATATTTATAGGTACTAGCCAACATCGTGGCTCAATCAACACCGCTCTCAGCTGGTGTGATCAAGTCATTAGCATAACTAAGACTATAGTTAAGACGTGGGATGTTACAATCATGATCCATGAGACACGATAATTAATCAATCTATGTGCTGATTATTGAACTTTATTTGTTTCATATATGATATTTGATCAAGGATCCTGTAGAAATAATAACATACAACATAAATAGTCTTACGAACGAATCACATATTCATTAGCCAATAATGAGTTATCTATTTCGAGTAACAACACATGATAATATGTAGATATAGTATGCGGTATAATCATCTCTATGATTATCTTTAGAGCATATCATTAACATTAACTTAATTAAACTTGCCTAACATGATGTGTGACAACCTTTGACAAGCTTTATGATCGAACCAAAGAGCTCCCGAAGTCTTTTGTACTATACAAGTAGGGATTCGTGTTGTGCAGGAAGGTTTTGCTTTGATATCCTTCGTTTCGTTGCGGGACTCTTTTTTGCAGCACGTTGCCTCTTCATCCCTGTGATGCTCCGACTCCCCTCCTGTCTCTGCGCACGCCCACCACGCCAGCGGTGTCACGCCGGCCATCGCCTTTTCACCTTGAGGTGTTTAGATGGGGCTAAAACTTGTTAGTTCCTGTCACATCGGATGTTTGGATGCTAATTTAAAGTATTAAACATAGACTAATAAAAAAACTAATTTCATAAATGAGAGCTAATCCGCGAGAAGAATTTTTTAAGCCTAATTAATCCATAATTATCAAAAGTTTAGTGTAGCATCACATTATCAAATCATGGCGTAATTAGGCTCAAAAGATTCGTCTCGCGAATTAGTCCAAAGTTATGAAATGAGTTTTGTAATTAGTCTATGTTTAATAGATCAAATTAGTGTCCAAACATCCGATGTAACAGGGACTTGGAATAAGTCCCTGATTCCCAAACAGCCACTTAGTCATCCAAGCCGCCACCGCCGTATGTACTCCCTTTGTCATTAGGGTAATTTTATAATCCTTAAGAAAATAATGGGAGGTACCTCATTTTCTAGGAGAAAATTTGTTGTTTCTATATACTATGTGTCTCAAGATAAGATACTTTCTTAAGAATCGTAAATTTTCTAATCTTTAACTTCCTCTGAATCCGTCTTCTATCCGATGTTATCCGCCCACTAGGGATGAAAACAGAGCGGATAGTTTCCGTCCGCTCTGGAGAAAAACGAATATGGATACCTTTCGGATCGGATAATTTTTAGATAGTTCGGATACGGATACAAATACGGATATTTTCTCCGGACACGAATATGAATATGGTACCGGGGTTTCCGTCTAATATGGATAATAATTCAGATATCCAATGAACTGAGCTATTCGGATATCCGCAGAAGCCATGAGACATACCCTATTTCTTTATAACTCTATGACCTTCAATATACCTTTTTAGATTTTAATAGTAGTTCATCCCTTAACACTAGTCCACACTATTAATATTATTTAAAATTTTAAAAATATTTATAGATTATACTACATTTTATATAAAATGAGCTAATTATATATGTTGATATTTGTTTCTATTGCAAGTTGAGTTGGTTTTCATGTTCCGAGATAAAAATGTTTCCGTATTCGTGTCCGATCATATACGATTCTAATTCATAATCGAGATAATCCGTATCTGAGCATGTAGCTAGATGTCATGCATGCTACATATAGCTGCTGCTGCTGCCCTTTTGGTTTACGGCATCACCAAGAATACACTTTTTTGAAAGGAAATCACCAAGTATACACTTATTTACATGATTTATTAGCAATGCATATATCTTGCGTGCAATGGAGCTTAATTATGCTTGGCATCAGGGGGACACTTTTGATCATCTCACGACTTGGATAGAAGAGGCGAGACGGCTTGGAGTTGGAGGTGCCAAGCTGACAATATGTTTCATTGGAAACAAATGCGACCTCTCTGATAGACGTGCTGTCAGCTACGAGGAAGGTGAACAGTTTGCCAAGCAGAATGCCCTGCTCTTTATTGAGGCATCAGCGAAAGCTGCTCATAATGTTAACGAGGTTACTATGGTTTATCCTCGGTGCTTATTTGTGCAACTAAGCGGTTGGTATCTGTAACAAAATTTTCATTAATTTGTGGTGTAGGCATTCACTCTGACTGCTAGAGCAATGTGCCACAAAGTTGAAGATGCATGGGTTTGTTTAATGAGAAAATTCGATCCATAGCACAGAAAAGAAAGCGGTACCAAAAAATAGCACAAAAAGTTTCCTCTTTCGATCCATAGCATAGGCCAACGATTTTTCTTCGCCTGGTAGCACTTCCGTCGCATTTTGAAGTAACGGCGTTAGATCGGAGTGGAGAAAATTTTCGTCAGATTCACTTGCCCTTCGTTCCCCACCAGGTCTCCTCTTCCGCTACCTCGTGGACAGCGGCGCGGTGAACCATCGGTGTGCTGGGCGACCGCCTCGTCTCCCCGCCACCGTCGAGTGAGCTGCGGGCGCGCACTTCAACGACGTGGACGCGTGGCTCGCCATCGCAGTCGACGGCGAGGTGGCCCCACTACTAGGAAAAGCATTATCGCAAGCGGCCGAAAAGGGTCTTCGCAGGCGGGGCGACCGTCCGCCTGTAAGCCAACGACTGTGAAGATCGCCAATCTTCGCAGGCGGGGCGGCTGTCCGCCTGTGAAAATAATTTTCGCAGGCGGACGTTGGCTAGTCCGGTCCGCCTGCGAAAATAGGAATCGGCCGCCTGCAAAAAAAAACTTCCGCCTGCGAAGATAGGTAGAAAATATTGAAATTTAATAATAATTTGCCCATAAATTACTTTTAAATTATTTAATAGAAATTCTTGTAGGTAGATTATTATGTACATATATTGGAAGATTATCAAGCATTTGGTACTGAGAAATCTACATATATTGCATAACTCAAAAGTGTTGCCAAAATATATATATTACAATATTTTTTTACATTGTCACTTCAAATAAGGTCATCTAGTTACATTATGGCATAGTAGTGTTCCACTCCCGAAGATCCTTGAATTCGTCACTTGCCGCTAGGGTACCCTCTGGGTCGAAGAAATCTCCTTTCACATGACAGCACTCATGGTGGATGAAGTGGCACATATCACGTTGGACATTTGTGATACCTGTATCGTCAAAGCTTGTTTGACATTCTAATCTTGGCAACTGCATGCATTGAAGTTAATCAATATATTAGTATCATAAATATGTGAAGCTGTCTAGTACATAGTATAGAGACTTACATCCTCCGCGTTAGTCCTGTACCGTCCATTAACCCTAAGGAATTCGCACGCATAATACCCGCAAAGGACCGTTCCTCGCGGTTGCTTGTGACACTTCAGGACATATCATAGAAAAAAGTAGTTAAAATTTGCAATTAGTGAATCAATTGGAATACATTAAGTGAGTGGAGTATTACCGGCCAATAGCTACGTACTAGCAGCTTCTCTCGTGTTCGGGTCTGTTCTCCACCCTTGAACTTGTAGTATTGGTATGCACTGTATGGATGTCGTACTGTTTCACAGTAAGGAGGATATTTATTTATAATACATTCATATACAAATGCAAGAGTCATAATCACTTACTACTGTAATCGAGAGGGTCCAAGACTAACATGGTTCCGTCTTTAGGGTGGATGAGTAAACAGATATAATGATCGCTACATATTAACAACAGTATAGTTAGTTAGTACCAGCTAAAATAAGACATATGTGTACAAGATAAATGTACCGGACTTACTTAAAATTATAAGCGGCCATGACGACTCTCTTATTTTGAAAGTGCAAGAAGGCTCGTCCAATGTACTGTGCGACAGTAATCAATTTCTCCATGTGCAAGCCCTTCTTGTATTCTGCTATCTCTTTTGGATTCTTGCCCTTCAGCTGGTCAGACCCTGGTGCTAGCCTCACTGTACGCTGTGTTTGGCAGATCTGAGTTGGATCCAAGAAGCCGATGGGTTCTTTTTTCTTCATAGCATCCATGTATTGCATCCTACAGAAGAAGTTTGTTAGTAACAATCACATGGATTTGTATTGTACATATTTTTCATCTAATTAATTAAAACTCATACTCACATGCACCAAATACCGACGTAGTTGACGTCCATCTTATCCCGACGATATATGGCGTGGAGATCTGAGAAATCTAGCCATACGTAACCTTCTTCGCCGAAACAATCTACCGGTGATTGAGCTGTTATATTGCCCAAGCCTTTCTTGCTGGCCTCCATGTAGAAGGTATGTAACCTTTTTATCTCCCATGGTCCTTCTTTCAGTGCCTATTCCGGCAAGAATGCTTTCTCATGTTCGTACTTTTCCGAGCAATCATCGGTTGCGAAGTATGTTGGCCCGGCTAGTTCAGCAGCCTTCTAGGGGTCGTCATCTCTGAGCTTGGCACGTTCCTTACCCCCTCTGAAGACGGTTACCATGAACTTCTCCTTGTTCTCATCTTTGGACTTGGAGTTGTGGCTCCTAAGCACTCGTGGCACCTCAGAACTGGTAGTGGCCTTCTCAGGGACCGTGGTCTCTTGCACCTCGGGGTCTTTCGCAGGAGAAGAGTCTTCAAATATTTCTGGCTCTGTACCGTCCCATTCTAATCTTGGTACTTCTTCTATTTCTGACCCGACTGATGCCACAAATTGCACCTCTGGTTCTGCCACTGTAATCTCCATGGGCACATCCGGCACTGGAATCTCCATGGCTGCCTCCGGCGGTGCAATCTCTATGGTTGCCTCCAGCAATGCAATCTTCGGTGGCACTTCCGGCACTGGATTTTCCTTTTGCATCTCGGGTTCCTCCGCTTTATCAGTCACCTTCCTCTTAGGAGGTCTCTGAGGTTTTCCCAACCCCGGTTTAGGCACCACAGGTTTTTGAGTCGCGTCGGTGCCCAATCCAAAGGATATGTCATTCTTGTGCCAGAGAATTACAAGATCGACCGCATCCCCAAGTACGGATACACCATCTGCAGTCGGGAAGTCAATGTCGTAGGACTCAAACCCTTCGTGGACCACTTGCGACTGCACCTTGGCATACGCATCGGGTATGAACTCTTCATTGTATGTTCTCCCAAGGATAGCAATGGCTGTAGCGGCCTCAAGAGTTTTCCCGGAGCGTCTAATGGGAACGTGCAATCTGCAGGGTGTATTCTCCTTGAGGTCATCGAAGGGGTAATCTGGCTCAGGTTCTTTGGTTTTGGGGCAAGGCAAAAGCATGTGCTTGACACAGAAATCCATCATTTGCCTTTCAAACTCCGTAGCCCCTTTGTCTCTAAGTTTATCCTTGTACGCTTCACGGTTCTTGTGGGGGTCATTTTTGAACCCTTCCTTCCAACTCATCTTGCTCGACACACCTCGAACCCTTCCCCCATGCTCAGGAGTACCCAGCGCCGTACTTAGCACATCTTTCTCCCTTTTAGGCTTGAAAGATCCTTTCTTTTGTGAACTGGATAAATTTTCTATTTTATCGGCAACGCTCTGTAGCTCCAGATTTTCAAACGATACTTTTCCTTCATCCGTGATCTTCGGAGTTCTAGCTCTTACCCAGTTCCTTGATCTCTGTGTCCACTCCTCCATTGGTGCCGGTTGCCCCTTCTTCCTCATTTCCTCCTCCTCTTTTGTCCACTGCTCCACCTTTGGTGCATATCTCGCGGAGCCTAAGCGATGAGGAAATTTGTTCTTCTTGGCCAACTCTGCATACTTTTGGCTCCTTTGAATTTCTTCTGGGGAGTTCTTCAACGTCTGAAAGTTGTCCCACTGATTCGGGGTTATGTTGGCATACGTCGAAAATGGTGTGCGTCCCGTCTTCACAAATTTCTTGTTCAAGGTGGTTTTCCAACCACTCCAAGACTTGGCCATTGTTTGCAGTGCACAATTCCTCACTGCTGTCTCTGATCCATCCGGGAACTAGAAGATTTTCTTCAACTCTTTCCATAGGACTTCCATATCCCCATTCGATACATGATCCCAGTCCTTGACCGTGATGGGGATCTTTTCCCTTACTATTAAGCCACACTGTGAACAGAATTTTGCACGTGCCGTCTTAGGGGCGAGCGGCTCTCCTTTAGTCGAAACATGGGTAACAACATGGAACCCTTCATCCTTTCTATTCACGCTTCTCTCGCCCTTCCTTTTCTTCTCTTTTGCTGACCGTTCGCTTTTCTTTGTGCCGGTTGTGTTAGCTGGTACGTCGTCGTCTTTCGACGGAACTTTTTTCTTCGGCTGCCGTTTTGATCGCCATGGCGCCATTTCCTACGAGAAGGTATACATGGAAGTTTCGAATTTAGCTCGGGCTAATAGTTATCACGGTGAACATTTTACATATTAAGTTTACTTACCCCTTCTTTAGGGGGGATGTAGTCCTTGTCGCCTTCTTCACTGTCGCCCTTTTTCCTTCTCTTCGGGCTTGGGCTTGGACAAGGATCGCTTGGCGACGAGTACTCCTCGTCTTCGTCAGCTACGTCACTGTCGGAACTACCTTCCGGTGGGACCGTTGGTTCCGGAGCAACCACAACAGCAAGGGACTGCTCTTGCTCCCCTAAACCCTTCTCTTCAGTCCCTTTAGTACTATCGGCCATCGTTTCAAACCTCTAATATAAAAAAAAAGAGTTATCGCCCACATTTTAAATTACTCAAATTAGTACAAACAACTTTGTACAAAAATAAACTGTATATTAACAATATGTCGTATGAACAAATTTAAATTCTCTGAGATTCCCAAATTTAACTATTATACTAAATTAATTAGTACAAACAAATTTAAATTGTGAAATATTATTAATTAGTACTTACTATTATGCTAAATTAATTAATACAAACAAATTTAACTTGCGAAACTAATTACTACTTACTATTATGCTAAATTAATTAGTACATACAAATTTGTACAAAATTTGATATGTTATTATCAAGTAGTGCACTAATTGACAGTTACATTTCATCAACATGTTGATTAAAAAAAATTGAAAAGGCAAACATATCCTCCACATTTTTTTTAAAAAAAATGTTAACATACCCTCCCACATGTTATTTAAAAAATTTGACAAATTCACATATCCTGCAAAATTGAACATACCCTCCCAATTTCATTCACATATCACCCACATTCCCAAATTCACATTCACAATCAACATATAACCCCTCATTCACATATCACCCACCCCTCATGCCAATTCACACCCACATGCACACACATATATACCCCTCACACCCACATGCACACACATATAAAAAGAAACACCCACATGCACACACGTCCGTGTTCGACGAACGGCCGACGACGAGCTTCGGTCGTGGATGACGAAGGAAGGGCCGACGACGAGGTTCGGCCGTGGACGACGACCGGCTTCGGTCATGGACGACGAACGGCCGACGACGAGGTTCGGCCGTGGACGACGACCGGCCGAAGACGTCGTTCGGCCGAGGACGTCTTCGCTCGTGGACGACGATCGGCCGATGAAGCCGTTCGGCCGCGAGCGAGATAGAGAGAGAGGTGGCTGCCGGCGGCAGTGGAGGGGCGGCCAACGGCGCGGTGGAGGGGCCGGCGGCGGTGGAGGGGCCAGCGGCGGCCGCGTGCGCGGTGGAGGGGCCGGTGGCCGGTGCGGTAGAGGGGCCGGTGGCGGTGGAGGGGCCGGCGGGGGTGGAGCGAGCGGCGTATAGCTCGCGCGTGGTGGAGGGGTCGGCAGCGGTGGCAGAGTTGTGGAGCTCGCGCGTGGTGGAGCGGCGGCAAGGGGCGGCGGTCTCGGTGACAGCGCGCGGACAACGACGGTCGGCGGCGGCGGAGGACGATGGTCGGAGAGTGAAGGTCGCAGGCGGGCGGTGGCGGAGAACAGCGGAGGCGAAAAAAATTCGGCAACCTGATGGCGCCAAAATTTCTAGGGTTCCCGCCTGGACATAGAAATTTTGGCGCCGCGGGCTTGCCCTTATATAGGGCAATGATCTTCGCAGGTGGGTGGTCCGCCTGCGAAGATTGTTTTTACTATCTTCGCAAGCGGGCCGTCCGATTGCGAAGATGTAAATCCTACTCTGTATAACAATTTTCGCAGGCGGACCGCCCACCTGCGAAAATTGGTACAGAGTTGAATATATTTATTCCAAAATATACAAACCTTAATATTATTACAAAATATACAAACCTTAGTATTATTACTTTTCAAATGTATAAATAGTAATTGCACATAAAAATATTACTAATTTAATTTTTTAACAAATTTTTTACACTACAAATGGTAAAAATGGTAATTGCACATAAAAATAATTACACTTTTCAAATATTACTAATTTAAATTTTTTAACAAATTTTTTACACTACAAATGGTAATTGCACATAAAAATTAGTACAAACTAATTAATATGCAAAATGTTTAGTACAATTGTTCGTCAATTTGCGATATAAACACACATCACCTTACATACCACCATTACATAACTACTAACTTCTTAGATGCTTACATGCCACTCAACAATCATTACCCTTTAACATTTTTGCCCACACCGTCCGTGCGCATGTAAGGCTTCACGGTCTTCTGAGTAGATGTCTCGACATTCTTAATCTTCTGTACAAACTTACTATAAAGTGGCATACTATCATATTGGTTGTAATCTTCGACATCTTCAACCCCATCCACTCCCAATATCTTTTGTTTCCATGGTAACACTATATCTTTCTTCAAATTTGAAGGGTCTTTCACATAAAACACTTGTGCTACGCGATTGGTGAGTACCCAAGGGTCATCCTTGTGACCCACACTCGCCAGGTCAACAACAGTAAGACCAAACTTATCAACATTGACCCCGTTCGGGTATTTTACCCACTGGCACTTAAATATGGGGAATTGCATTGTGTGCCCATAGTCGATTTCCCATATTTCTTCAATAAACCCGAAGTATGATTGTTTTTCCCCGGCTTCATCAATTGCTTCCACATGGACACCGCTGTTTTGCGTACAGGTCTTATTATCTCGGGCTCTTGTGCTAAACGAGTATCCATTAATGTCATATCCCTGCCAAGAATTTACTATAGTTGATGGACCACAAGCCAACCGCTTCATAGTTATTTCATTGGTAGTTTGTCCCTCAGGTAAGTCTAGGTCTCGCAACCAATCTATGAAGAGACGCTTGTGTTCTTTCATTATCCACTCGGTGGTGCGACCTTTATTGTTAGCTCGTATTAGTTCGATATGTTGATCGATGTACGGCTCAACGATAGCAAACTGATGAAGCACGCTGAAGTGAGCTTCTTGGAATGATTTGTGATCATGGGTGACGAATCTCTTCTTTCCTTTCGTTCCCCTGCCACTCAACCTGCCCTCGTGTCGGGGCACAGGTACTCCAATTGCATATCCATCTTTGAGGTAATCGATACAACACTCGACAACCTCTTCAGTACTATAGCCCTCAACCATTGATCCCTCTGGATGTGCACGATTTCGGACGTAACCCTTCAGAACCGCCATGTAACGCTCGTATGACCACATTTGATGGAGGTACAATGGGCCAAGCGCAACCATCTGTGGCACTATGTGAACAATGAGGTGCTCCATCATATCAAAAAATGACAGAGGGAAACACATCTCAAGTTGGCACTGTGTCTCATGTGCGAATATACGGAGATTTCCTAACTCTTCGAGACTAATGACCTTCTGTGACACTGTGTTGAAAAAGTAGCACAACCTTGTGATAGCAACCTTTAAATGCTTCGGTTTTATGGCCCTTATTGCAATTGCAAGAAACATGGTGAGCAAGACATGGCAGTCGTGTGAATTATAACCAGATACCCACAAATCTTTCATTGAAACTAGTCGACTGATGTTTGATGAGAAACCTATGGGCACTCTGACATCACGGAGTGAGTTGCAAAATGACTTCTTCTCCTCAGGTGTCAGTGTGAAACAGGCTGGTGGAAGATATACTTTGCCATTCTTTTCTCCTTCTTGAGGGTGTAACTCTTCCCTGATTCCCATCTCGACTAGGTCCATCCTTGATTGCAGACCATCTTTAGTCTTCTTCGGCATCTCCAACAATGTTCCAACTATGTTGTCAAACACATTCTTCTCTAGATGCATGACGTCTATGGCATGCCGAACCTCCAGATCTTTCCAGTACGGGAGGTACTTAAAAAATATGGAATGCTTCTTGAATGGGGGAGGGAGTTTATCATCTGGCTTCGAACTATCATCTTGCTTCTTACTATCCCCTTGTTTCATATTCTTCTCGGATTTCTTGAGCTTTGTCCCCTTTGATGGTTTCTTAGTCATTTTTCCAAACTCGCAAACAATTTTCTCTGTCATTGCACACACCTTTTCTCCCGATGTAGGTTTCGGTGCAGGATCAGTCTCTTCAGTACCATCGAACTCCGCCTTCATCTTGCGGTACTTGTGATTTGTGCGTAGGAACCGCCGGTGCCGCATGTACACAAGCTTGTTGGAACCCGGGAGATACCTATAGTACGTTCCATTCAAGCAGATCACACATCCTGTTTTACCTTTAATTTGACCTGAAACTAAAAACATTGCTGGATAATCGTTAATGGTCACGAAGATAATGACCTTCACTGTGAAGTATTCCCTTTACTCGTCCCACACTTTCAATCCCTCTTTCCATAAATCAACCATATCTTCCAACAATGGTTCAAGAAATACGTCAATATTAATACTAGGCTGACGGGGTCCCTGTATGAGGATACAGAGTAGTACGTATTTTTGCTTTTGACAAAGCCAGATAGGAAGATTATACATGGTGAGAAGCACTAGCCAAGTACTATGTGAGCTGCTCATGTCTCCAAAAGGATTAACTCCATCAGTACTCAGGGCAAATCTAATGTTCCGTGGGTCTTTAGCAAACTCTCTATACTGAGCATCAAAGTTTATCCACTGACGAGCATCTGCCGGGTGTCGAATCATCCCATCCTTCTTGCGCCCTTCTTCATGCCAGCGCATTAGTTCCGCATCTCGCGGGTTTGAGTATATCCGTTTAATGCGGTCTTTGACAGGAAGGTACCACATCACAAGCTGCAGAATTTTTCTCTGTCGTCCCTCAGTTGCTTCAGAGGGTTCTAGGCCAGTATTGCTATTCAACTTGTACCGGCTTGCACCGCATGTTGGACATTCATCTAAAGAAGCGTACTCTTTCCTGTATAGTATGCAGTGATTTACGCACGCATGAATCTTTTCCACACCAAGTGAAAGGGGGCATATGAGTTTCTTTGCTTGATATGTGCTGGATGGTAGTGAGTTAGACCTCGGGAGCATTTTCTGCAGAAGTTCTAATAGACTGTCGAAACTGGTATCAGACCATCCATGTCTCGCCTTTAACCTCATAAGTTCAAGAACTGACCAGAGTGTTGTGAACTCACTGTCACAGCCCTTCGACTCATCGTACAAAACTTCCTTTGCTGCCTTCTATAAAGCTTCAAAGTTATTTAACCCTCTAGCCGACCCCATCAGCACCTCGGGTTCTGCATGACATAACATTTCCTCTAGGTTGCATGCACCATGTCTTCAACTTGTGTCAGAACTACATTTTCAGGCCCGTCCACTTGTTCTTCGCCATGACTGTCACGCCCGGAATTTCTATCCAAAATTCCAAACGCTTACATGTGTGTGAACCCTCGTCCAGGAATCAGCCGAGGCACACAATAACAAATTGATAATAGAGTACAATTATTACTCTAATTAATAAGCGAATAAAATGTCATTACAGAGGTAGATAGTTCCTCTCAATCAATAAAGATCTAAGCAGTGGAAAAAAAAAGATAAACGGCGCAGACGACTCCACTCCACAGATAGCTTGACCAGGGCTACACCTAATCCTCCACACCATCAGCATCACTGTAGAACTCCTCCTCTGATGAATGATTGCAAGGTGAGTATATGACATACTCAGCAAGCCACGCAGCAAATATGCAAGTGCACAGGATAACAAAGGATGGCATAGTAGGGTTTCATTTGCATAAACAACATTTAATAAACATTTCAGAATTTAATAAAATAGTTAAGTAGTAATTAAACAATATTAATCCAACGGTATACAACATACCCTGTTGCATAGGCCCAACCATTCTGAACAACCATCCCGGCTGCACAGTTCTATCTCCAAACCCGGAATTAACCATTCCAAACCAGGAGCTAATCAAATTATTACCAGTTATAGCATCTGTTATTATGATGAGAAGTGTGAAACTAATCACGAAAGACATTGTTAGACCCGCCCATAACCGCGGGCACGGCTATTCGAATAGTTTTACTCTGGCCAGAGATGTACCACTGTACCCACAAGACATAGCCCCACGACATGTCACCATGTGCCTCAATACCACCACGGTACCTCAGAAAGGAGCTGTGATAGTACCCCTCACACAACACAATCCACCACAGCGCACCGTTCCTGGATCATAATCACCCCCTTATAAACAAGGCATGGACTCCCCAGCGACCCCCGTGGGCTTATCTCCGCCACTTCTCAGTCTGGTGCCCCGCAATGAACCATGCTATACAAAAGGTAAAGCCGTTGCCCACGCTGGCTTGTGGTTGGCATGGTTAATGTTTCACAACCGAAACTCGTGAACCAGTCCTTAATTGTTATGAGCACGACCATCAAAACCACGTGCTCACAACCCACCATTATCAGGTTTTAGTTGGCAAATTAATTAATTAACCAATCATGATTAACCATCATGAGCTATCATTAAGCCATCATTAAATAATAGTGAGTCATAAGTTATCCCAATAGTGTACTAATGTTTCTAAGCATGGCTAAGCAATCATATCTAATATCTAACTGAACCAATATATAAAGCTCAACTAGTCAAGTTATAATAACCCAAGGTATCAAGGAATAAAGTAATCAAGAACAAAAGAGCTATAACAAACAATAGGTTAATTCCACCTAATGACATTCGAAAATAAATGCAATAGTTGAATAGAAACAATAGCTTTAAACGGGATCAACATGCTCAAAGGGTTGTTTGGGATCTGTGTGACTTGCCTTGCTGGCCTTGGAACTCTTCAAATTCTTCTCCTACGAAAACGGACTCTCCGGAAACGTCGGAATCTAAACAGAAAGGAGCAAAATCACCAAAACAGCACACAAACAAGCATGAACAGTACATGTGGATATTTTTAACATGTAGATCCCAATTTTAGAAAAATTTAGAGTCTTGAACCAACTAAATCCGAGCCAAGATGAATTAGTTATGAATTTTCAAAGATTAAATCGGATTAAATCATTTATTTAGATTTTAATTGAATTATGACGCAATAATGAATTATTTTTGAAAAGGAAAATGGAATTATTGCGTCAGCGGCTAGGGTTCGCGGTGAACCGGGTGCACGGCGGCGGCTCACGGAAACGAACGGCCGAGATCGATTCATCCAAAAATGAACGGCCGAGATCTATCGGTCCATGACCGGGCCACGGGGAACGACGACAATGACGTCAGCGGTGACGTCACCACCGGTGGCGGCTCGGGCGTGCATGCTTGCCGGCGAACGACGGCACGACAGCGCGAACAGAGGGAACCAACATGTAGAGGGCGACGCGGCGAACTCACCGGTGACCAAAACAACGGCGGAAGATCAACGGATGGCGACGGCGTCGAGGAAGAAGCGGCGGCGACCTTCGGCTTGACGACGACGGCGGTGTTCCGGCGGTCGACAGCGACGGCGGAGGGGCGGACGAGGTCGGCGACGGCTTGGCGATCATGATGGTGACCTCCTCGAGCGACGACGACGACCGGAGCGGCGGCGGCGCACGGCTGGATGAACGGCGGCGACGACGGCGCTAGGCTACACGGTGCTAGGGCTCTACCGGCGACGAGAGGCGAAGGCGAGGGTGGCGGCGGGTAGCGGTGGGCTTGGGGGTCCTTTTATAGGGGTTAGGAGGCGGCGGCGAAGGCCCACGGCGACCGGCGACGCGAAGAAAAGTCTAGGGTTCGGAGGAGAGAGATCGATCCGAATCAAACTCGAATTCACGGATTTCCAAACGATTTTAGCCGACGATTCCATAAGAGAAAAGATAGAGGAGATCCCGAAGATCATTTCTCCTCTATTGATTTCACCGGAAAAGGAAAGGGACGGCCGAATTGGAAAGGCGGCGGCGGCGCGGCGCGGCTAGGGTTTGGGCGCGGCAGCGGCGCGAGGAAGACGAAGACTGACAGGTGGGCCCCACCTGTCAGCGGGCGGACGCGCGCGCGGGCAGCTGCTGCCGAACTAGGCCAACTGGGCCGAGCGAGAGAGAGAGGGGTTTTGGGCCGACTTTCGGCCCAAAGCCAAAAGAGAACTTTTAAAACCTTTTCCAATTTAAATTATTCATGAAATGCAATTCCATTTATTAAAAATACTTCCTTAGCTCAAATAAATCCCAGAAAAATCTAGGAATTATAGAATTAAGCAAAGCATTTAATGAAATTTTATCTGGCCCCATTTTATATTGGAATTTATTAATTAAAACTAGATCTTCTCTTCTAGGCTTTTAAAATAAATTCTAATAATTCCAATTTAGACAACAATTTATATATTTGGGATTTTTAGGGTGTGACAATGACGTGTCCATATTTCGTACTTGTCCATAAATCCATGAGTTACTAAGTGCTCCTTCACTTTAAAAGCATCGTCAAAGTCCCAGGCTATTTCATTCTTACAGTCAGCACATGGACAAATTATCTTCCTCATATTGTTCTTATCAGCGTGTGCCTTGGCAATACCAATAAATTTAGACACTTCGTTTCTATATGGAGACAAAAACCTTGGCCAACGATACATCCATTCCCGACTTTCCATATCTCTAAAAAAATACACGTAAAATATTTGCACGGTTAATACCAAATTTGTAGGGTTTATTGAAAAAACTTATCGCTATTCAAAACTAATTAACTAAAGGTTAAGTGTAAATTAATAAAAAATCAAAGTTTATTTCAATTTTTTTACACAGACATGCCTAATTAGTACATTAGGAAAATCTAACAAAATCATATCATCGGCATATTACAAAATACTATAACTATTTTTTGATTGCACCGAATAAATAGACATTAAAAATTTTATTCTCTCTCTATATATGACAAGATCTAGATCTAGATCTAGAACTAGGAGGTGGATGTGATAGCAAAAATAAAAAAAAATTGAGAATTTATGTTACCACATTAAACCACTGCAACAAGAGGCATCGAGTATTACACATACATCTAACATCAACATATCAAAAGAAATAAAATTAAAAAACATGGAGCTCTTCCTTCACAATTTTGCATGCATAAATCCATCACAAATTAAGGCCTAAAAGCTTAAAAAATTACATACCTAGTGTGGAAATGAGTAGATTTAAGTACCGTAGAAAAATCCCCCGAAGATTTGAAGTTCAAAACCTCCCCCCCTATATTTAAGTCACTTTAGGAGAGAGAAACTTTGGGGAGAATGAACAGGGCTCGGGGAGGAAGAAGACTATATAGGGGCATCTTCGCAGGCGGGCCATATAAGCGGCGCCTGCGAAGATCGATCTTTGCAGGCGGACCGCTCCCTCCACCCCGGGTACTTTTTTTGCCGGCGGGGTTTTGGCTCTGAATTACATGCCCGCATGAGAAAATCGATCCCCTACGACGCCGAAAATGAGTTTTCTAGTAGTGACCCCGTCTGGCGCTCGGTGCTGCTGATCGAGGGCGAGCCTCCCGCGTCGGCGGCTGCTTGACGACGAGGACAATGATGATGACGTGGGTGGCCCTAGCGTCGGCGTGGATGGATGTGGGCCGTTGTACGCCCTCGGGCTCCGCCAGTGGTGGCTATACTCGGCGCTGCAAAACTGCCTCTCCCTTGCCACAGCACCGTGCCGCACCGGCTTGCCGCTGCTTCCACGTGATGATGACGATGACGATGACAGCGATGGTGACGGGGACGATGACCTGCCGCTTCTGCAGGCCTCACCGTTGCGCTTGAGGGGAGGCTGCTCGCAAGCAGTCACCACCACCGTCTGCGCGCGGATGAGAAATTTGGAATGGATGAGCCGCGCACGAGTGTTTAATGGAGACGAGGCGCTGTCGGAGAGCTACGAGGCGGCGGCGGTGGAGAGCAGTGCGGATATCGGCGGTCGGCGGAGGCCGGAGCTTGCATGGGGAGGCAAGGCCGAGAAAGATCAGCGGAGTCGCCACGGAGAAGGGAGGAGGAGGAGGCGGCGGCGACCTATCTGAGCAGATGAGGGCGGCACGGAGCTCAGGGAAGAAGGGCAAATGAGTCTTTTTTCATGCCAACTCATATGTTTGGATGGCAAATGTGACGGGAGTACTATGAATCACAAGAAAATTGGTGTCTTGGGCTTTTTGTCAAAATGAAAAATTTGTTGTGCTATTTTTTGTTACCAGGTTTTTCATGTGCTACGTATCAAATTTTCTTTTGTTTATTTGAAGAGGTCTTATTGCTTTTTCTAAGACCCGCTTGAAGTTTTGTGGAAACTGAAGATTTGTGGAATCGCCAGTAGTTTCAATGATAATTGAATTAAACACTTTCTGTCGTAATGTCCTTAATGTGCCACATATATGCAATGTTATATTTTTCAACCCTAGAAAAGAGCTCATCTTTGCACAATACACCTGGCATCAGTAAAGAAAAACCCAATTCGTGTGTTCTGACACATTTCTTTTATTTGAACTATCGTGCGACAGACAGAAGTAGAAGATGCGGAGATAGAATTGCTTGATTCATGAGTGAGTTATGGGGATCTAAAACATGTAGTTTGGAGATCAGAACAAATCTTGTCCAAGTTATGTGGGTGCATATTCTCTATGTACCAATATAATAATATATGACTCTTCAATTTGGCATTTGACCAAAATTAATAACCACTTCATTTTCTTGGTGTGAAGGATGGAAATAGTTTTGGGGAACTTTTATAGTAGTAGTAGTAGTTTGTACTAGTACTACTAGAAGTAGAAGGGTACTAGAATTTAAATTTAACCGTAGATTTTCACAGGTATTTAAAAACATTTTATTTGAAACTTCGCTAAGGTAGCTTAACCAATTCATCTATTTTGACATATATATGTCATGTGAATTTATCATTATAATTACATATTTCAATTCGAATTTCACCACCTTCAATTTCTTAGTACTCCCATGTGTACACTCAAATGCTTAGTACACAAAACAATAGATTGAATAGCCTCTATGGTTTTGAGAATTTATACCCCCATGCCTGGAGAAAGGAATACTTCGTTCATAATGCTTCTTCTCATACCGTTTTTCTTATATTTCGTAATTGTTTTTGGCTCCTCAAAAAATTAACACGTGTTGAGCTTCATTAAAAAAAAATCCTCATCTATATATATGTAATCTTTCATCGGCCCTCCTACCGTCGGACACCTAATATTCCTTATGCTTGATTCACGAGAAAGATATACTCTCTCTATCAACTGGAGTAAAAAGGTAGCTGTATTTTGGGATTGAGGGAGTATTATTTTATTTTGAAAGAGAGGCAGCACTTGCTTTCTTGGAGTGACCATTTCTTAAACTATCATAATTTGTACTCCGCATACATCAGGTTGTTTGTCTAGATTTTACAGCACGGTGTTTTCAAATCTGGCTACCTTGCCCCAAGCTGATTGTTGGGAAAATCGAATTTTTGCAATGTCTACACCACCACGGCGTTTAGCATGTGTAGTCAAACTGCCGCTGGCCCGCCACAAGGGTCTGTTACAGGTTGTACAGAACATTTGTAATCGGCAGGAACGCTGCAAGAGATGATTTCGAATTGTCAACACTTCTGCGCATCTGGTATTTGCAAGTACTTTTCTGCTAATGGCTTGTTTGTTCTGAGTACGTATTTGCAATAGCCCGGCCAAATAAACCATAATGCCTCCAGAATCAGCATCTGCACGACCAAAGAAAGAAAGCCCAAGCAACTAACACAAAAAGGAACAAACACAAGTTTCTTTTTTTTTTCTTATAAGATAAGGCTTCATCAGGAAAATGCAAAGTAAAAAAAAATTAAATCATGTCATGAAAGAAGGGCCTGTAACATCATGACACGGGTCTAGATTATAGAACACCATATTGGCATACTTCCATAACATTTTAAACATGCTGAAGACCCTCTTTATAACTAAAAGAACAACGTGGTCATTTTGTTTTTGGATTAAACTACGGCGTGGAATGTCAATAAAATTTCGGAAAGAAAACTCGTCCTAGGAAGCAATAGCTAGCAGTATGCATATCAGTTCACGAATCACGAACTGCTAGACTGCAAGGCAACAAGGGACGCATAAGCTCCACCGGGCAAGCGCAGCAGCCGCCCGTGCCGGCCTTCCTCGGCAACGACGCCGTTCTTGATGACGGCGATCTTGTCGGCGCCGGTGATGGTCGACAGCCGGTGCGCCACGATCACCGTTGTCCGCCCGACCATCACCCTGTCCAGAGCCTCCTGCACGATGCGCTCCGACTCAGAGTCCAGCGCGCTCGTCGCCTCGTCCAGGAGCAACACCTTGGGGTCCTTGAGGATCGCCCGCGCGATGGCGATCCGCTGCTTCTGCCCGCCGGAGAGCTGCACGCCACGCTCGCCGACGCTGGTGTCGTACCCGTGCGGGAGCGAGGAGATGAAGCGGTGGGCGTTGGCGGCCTCGGCGACAGCGACGATCTCCTCCTCGGACACCTGATCCTGCTTGCCGTAGGCGATGTTTGCTCTGATGGTGCCGTTGAAGAGAACCGGTTCTTGGCCCACTAGCCCTATCTGCTGCCTGAGCCAGGTGAGCTTGAGGGTCTTAAGGTCCATGCCGTCTAGAAAGATGGCGCCAGAGTCAGGGTCATAGAACCTCTCTAGCAAGGCTACCACTGTTGATTTACCGCTTCCGCTTTCACCAACAAGCGCAACAGTCTGCAACAGAAGATCAAACTTGTCATCCTCAGAAACAATTTCAGTATCTTCACAAAAAAGAAAATTCAGTATTGAATGGATTTCATTTTCAGTTCAGATTCTAGTAACATTTCGACAACTATTAAAATTCAGCTTGTGGTGCACTTCTTTGTTTACTTTTGTTGAAGAATATAATTCAACTGTTCTGTGAAGCTACTGTGCAGCTATTCAGGTTACTTGTTAAGTTGTTATTCCCTCTGTTTCTCAACATTTGATACTTTCATCCACGAACAGAGAACAAGGCATCAGTTATATTGAATGGATTTCATTTTCAGTTCAGATTCTAGTAACATTTCGACGAGCTATTAAGATTCAGCTTGTTCTATATTCTAAATTGTAACTTGTGGTGCACTTCTTTTTACCCACACACAGAGAATAAGGCATCAGTTATATTGAAAAATTGTGACAAAAATGCTCCTAGGATGCACTGTATAGGATAGGCCACGTGTACAACAAACCCAAGCAAGCACTGAACAAAATGGCAGGCCATTCATTCAAATTTCAGAACAAACCGAAGCAAGCACCCAAAAAATATCTGTGGAAGATTGTTGGGCCCACCACTATAGTTTCGGGGGATCAAGGGAAAATTTGGAATTTCACCATGGGAAAAGGGTACTTGCGACAAATATTTTGAAACAAATGATTTAGTCAAAAGTGCCATTTATTAAAGAATGGAGGGAACAATTGTTACCTTGCCTCAGTTCTGTAGCAATGGTTTCAACATTATAGAGTTATTAAGATGAAATTAGGAGCAAATTGATGGTAATTATGAGAATAAAGAACTGTGAACAAATTGCTTTACCATGAGAACCACATGTACCTTGCCAGATGGGATCCTCAAGCACAAATTTGTGAAGATCTGCACGTCAGTTCGAGCTGGATACTTGAAGCTCACATGCTGAAACTCTATATTCCCCTCAATTTTCTCTGGAGCCATTCCATCATCTGAGCTTGCATCTATCTTGGATTTCCTATCTATAATCTTAAAAATGGAGGCTGCCGCATCTTGCACTTTGCTAAAATCCCGAGCAAGAGAACTCGATTGTGAAACTCCAACAGCCATCATTGTTAAAGCAAAGAAGACCTGCATTTTCAATAAGCAGCAAAAAGGATGAATAGAGGAAAAATTGCAGAAATATGCATCTATCAGTTTCTTGAGTTTTAACCTTAAAAACTTCCCCAACGTCAGCTGTTCCATTGTGTACAAAGCGTGCTCCGACATAAAACGATACAGCATAAAAGCAGAAGAGCAAGGCAAATGAGAATCCATAACCCACACCACTTATAGCTCCCTGACGGACTCCTTTCTTCACAGGACCTTTGCATTTATTTCGGTAGCTTTCAATTATCTTCTCTCCTACACAGAATGAAGTGACAGTTCTAATGTTACTGATGGCATCACTAGCAATTGTGCTCGCTTGTTCATACATTTCCTGCAGGAAAATATCACAGGTTTTCAGCAAAGAAACAGCATAATTATTTTATTGCAATGAAAAAAAGGACTATATGTATACCTTTGCATCAGCACCAAATCCCCTCATTAACCTTGATTGAGCATAACTCTGCGCAAATACACAGGGAACGAAGCACAAGACTATGAATGCTAGCTTCCAGTTTGCAATCATAGCTATTACAATGCCGACAAGAGCAGTGCTTATACTTTGAACGATCAATGATAAAACATCTCCAGCAATGCTTTTGACGGATGCGGCATCTGCGGATAGCCTAGCACCTATTGCGCCACTGAGTAATTCCAGTAATGCAGAAGAATTAGGTAATGGAAAGGAAATGGCAATTGTATAATGGCAATATACCAAATGATAATACCTGCTGTTCAGAGGGTCATCAAACCATCCAATATCCTGGTAAACAACCCGACTAAATGATAAGGCACGTATACGCTCGATAAGCTTCCCACCTGCCATGTTGAACAAAGTGTGTTGCACTGGTATGATAAAGATGGATACAACACCCAAGATCACGTATATTTCTGCCCAGAACACTGAATCTTTTCGCAGTTTGTGTGGTGGTTCATAGAATGCGTTGATGGCACTTGAAAGCAACAGGCCAAACACTGGAAGTATAGCTCCATTGGCGGAGGCGGCAATGCATCCTAACAGAAGGATTGCAGTTTCAGGCTTATGAAGGTGTAGTAAGCGCCTAAGTACATTCTTGCCAGACTTCGTGTCATCACACCCTTCGATTTCATCTTCAGTCAATGCATATGTCTGTGAATTCCTTCTGCTTCCACCCAGTGACGAATGTCTGCTCATAGATCTCTCAAAGGATAGCTTTCTAATGCTATGTCGACTTACAAAATTTCCAGCATCAGATAGTCTGTTCGCAGCATCAGATAGTCTGTTTGCAACATCAGATAGTCTGTTTGCAACATCAGATAGCCTATTGGGGTCAAGTTCATAAGTTCCATTCCTTCTCGCGTTTACCTCTTGAAGCTGTAAAAGTTGATAGTATGCTCCATTGGAATATTTTATCAACTCAGCATGAGGTCCTGTTTAGCAAACATTATTTTTGAGCTTGATTTTGATCTATAAATCGAAATTGAAAACTTGCTGAATTTGTATGGCAAGAGTTTTGAAGAAAAGTGACAAAGATCTCTGTTACCTTGTTCCACAAGTTGTCCACGATGTAGCACAGATATTGTATCAGCATTTCTCACTGTGCTCAGGCGATGGGCTACAATTATGGTGGTCCTGTTAACCATGATATTATTGAGTGCATCCTGAACTACATGCTCAGATTCAGCATCAAGGGCGCTTGTAGCTTCATCAAGAAGTAGTATCCTAGGGTCCTTCAAAATTGCTCTTGCAATTGCAATTCTTTGTTTCTGTCCACCAGATAGCTGTGTGCCATGCTCACCAACCATTGTATCTAGTCCCTGAAAATAGTTATCACTTATGATCATGATTCATGGGCCCCAAATTAAGATGAAATAAATGCTAAAAAGAGATCGCAGAATCCATAAGTCAAAGCTAAAAGGGCAGAAAGAGAGGGGTTGTTTGAATAGATGAGTGTACATTTGGTAGCTTATCGATGAACTTCGCAGCATTGGCAAGGACAATTGCTCTCCTGATTTCTTCCTCTGATGCATCTTTCTTTCCATACTCTATATTTTCTCTGATGGTAGTTGTGAAAAGAATAGGCTCTTGGCTGACAAGCCCTATTTTCTGTCTTATCCTGCTAAGATTTAGCAATTTCATATTAACACCATCCAAAAGAACTTCACCTGATTGTGGGTCATAGAACCTTTCGACCAAACTAATCACAGTAGATTTCCCGCTTCCACTTTCACCAACCAATGCCATTGTCATGCCACTTGGAATGCTAATTGAGAAGCCAGTGAAGATCAGTTGCTCAGGCCTTGCAGGGTAACTGAAATGGACATCTTTGAACTCAACATCTCCAACAAAATTCTCCAATACAAGGCCACTCCTATCACTGGCATCAATCTCAGGTTCCCTATTGATTGTTGCAAACATTTTGTAAGCCGCAATCTGTCCAGATGCAAAAGCATTTAAGCATGGAGAACTCTGACCAAGTGCCCTACAAAAAAGTTGTAAAATAAAAAAGGAGCTGTACTGAGAATACAGAAGTCATTGAAGTTCATATTTTTGTGTATTCAAAGAATTGTTGTCATGCAAATCAAGATACTAACATTGCACCACTCATGATGGCCATCAATACATTAATGATATATCCCCCAGTATAACCCTTTTCAATAATCAGCTTTGCACCGTACCATACCGCTAACCCATAGCTACAGAAAACAATAAACATAACTGAACCAATTCCGAGTCCCATAGCCGCGCCCTGGTGAACAGCTGATCTATATGATATTTTTAAGAATTCATTGTATTTGTCAGTTGCTCTCCTCTCACCAGTGAAAGATACCACCTGTAAATTTTCACAACGAAAAATTAGAAGGATCTGAAAAGGTTTAGGAAAAAAGGATAATAAAAAATGTTGAATTTCTTAAGAAGGTTTAGGATATTACAGTTCTAATTGATCCTATTGTCTGCTCAACCAGCTTCCCTGCTTCAGCATAGGCCAGCTGGGAACGGTTTGCTAGCTTTGATATGGCAATTGACATGGCTGCAGCAGCAAGTGCAACAGGAGGGATACTTGACAACATAACTAGGGACAGAAGCCAGCCTCTTGCAAATGCTATTATGAATCCACCAAGAAATGTTGATAGCAGTTGGAGAAACTTACCCACCTTCATAAATGGATAAAATTTGAAATCTGTCAAACAATAGATTCACAATATAGCGGTTTTATGCATCATATAGAATCAGTCAACTTCAGTCAGTCAATTTCATATAGTAAAACCAATCTATATAAATTAAAACCATAATTAATGGATGTGCATTACACAGGCAGGAGATCATCTTTGACCTTCAGAGATCCAGGCCATATGAATGATTGCCAGAACCATAGACTGGCTTAACTATGAACTTGCTGCATGATATGTTCTAAGGAGGTAAAACCGAAAACTTAAGGTGTTCACATAGCATGAAAAAAGAAATACCACCGGGATGGGGCACTTCACAGAGCTGATAATTAATATGTAGAGAAATGAATACTCCCTCCATTCCAAAATATAAGGCATAACCACCCTTAACCCAAAGACCAAGAAATAATTATTATCACCTCATTGTTTGAAGCATCCTAATAAATACAATGCATACACCCAATAGAATTAGAGATTTTGAGAGTGAAAGAGTTAAAAAAATAATAATTTAGTGAAAAAGATGTGCTAGTTAATTGCATGGATGCATGCATGCTTATGAAACATCTAAGAAAAATAGTTGTGCCTTATATTTTGGAATAGAGGGAGTATGAGTTATCTCACTTTTTCTCCAATGGCATCTTGGATCAACACTGTGTCGCTAGACATCCTTTCAGTAACTTCTCCGGTTGATGTCTCCAAATCAAAGAATGTAATATCTTGTCTAAGTATCGCCTCAAGGTACAGCCCACGGATGCGTGCAGCTTGCCTTTCACCAGTCACCATCCAGCATGACACCTCTGCAGGTACACAGTTAAATGCAGTCTAGTAAAAATAAACTTTAAAGCGGAAATAGGATATTACATTACATAAGAAAACATCTGCTGTTTATATCATTTCAAATATATTACAGAATAATGACTGTCTATGTTCACTGTTACATGGATTTAGTAGAACAATTAAGTTTTGTAATCTCTCTGTTGTGCATTCTTGACTTCTGATCTCATACCTATACCATGCAGTTTCCAAGAGTATTAGCCATTATTCACCTCAAATTCAGGTGAAAACCAAATACATATGAAGCAAACAAATGCACATCCTTTAAAATGCAAATTGGACAAGCAGTAGTTTAACTAGAGCTATTATGACTGGGCAGGCTTTCCTACACCCTCAACAGCAACGGAAATTCTACCCTCACTTTTTTTCCAAAATTAACTTGAGAATGTCTAGAGAATTAGTTGCTAGCATTGAGACAAATGCTGATAATCCAAGCACATCTAAGATGCGTCCCTACTAAATATGACTCTATAATTTGGTTCTAAATTTCAACAGTTCCTAAGAAGTCACCTGAACAGGACTACATGAGTCCACATTCTTTATAGAAAAGGAAGAAATATTCGTGAGTAAAGGTATCAAAGAATTATTCATCAACAATGCTACTAAGGAAATATACTAGAGTTAAGCAAATAGCTTTATCTCAGGAAGTCTTTATTCTCTACCAGAATAGATATTGTTATACAATAATACTTTTAAGAAAGATATAATATTCTCGAAACTTACGAAGAAATCCTGCTATTCCAGAGCCAATTGCCACATATGTAAATCTGAGAGAAATCTGAAAATGGACAATATAGAAACTAAAAAGGTTAAAAGGATAAAGCAAATAAAGCACCAAGGCAGCAGCTGGTCAAAGAAATTAAATGAAACTATTCCTGCATATTGAACATCTTAGTTAAAGATCAGAAACAGAAATGTATAAAACTACAATTATAATGCCTGTGAGTTTCAGACAGCATTAGGCAACACGTAATTACAACTTTACAACATAACATGCTTGGAAAAAAACAAAAGCATCTGCACAAATACTTGTACTGTATCAGGCAATTCCTCTTGTACATCCTTTGGAGAATCATTAATTAACCGTTTTAACCGAAAACAAATTATCCCAACAGTAATGCTTGTTTTGGTGGGGAACTCGTTTTCTCTTACATATGAAGTAGATCGCACAGAAACTTAAACCAATTTCACCATAATGTAGTACTACCATCTTAAATAAACACGTTAGAAGAAATTAGTCTAACGATTTGAAGAAATTAACTCACTGAATTAATCTTCAACAAACTTTGTACTCCTAGAAAACTTGCTACGTTGCGTGTATCTAAACTTTGTGCAAATTCCCGAGTGTACGAATCGGCTCGAATTTGTAGGCATGCGTGGCAAAGGCACCTCCTAAGTCCTAATCTCCATACCAGTTTGGAACAAATCGTTGCAAGCATAATTCATATTCAGGCCTTGCACGACAAACTCTCATAAATGCTGTGATTAAGAACAGATTTGGTAAAATAGCATCCAACGGTGCATTTTCGACAGATTAATGGAAACATGGAGAGAAAAAAAAAGAGAACGGGAACTTGGAAGGAAAATAATCACGAATCTGTGATAGGCTGGCGATCCATCAAGAGAACTTTCAGTTGGTTCGTCGAGTCCCACCCGCTAGTTTGGTTTCTCCGTTTATCAAATCCCGATTCCCGAATACTTGCAGAAGGAATGTTCTTATTCCAAAACCCTTAATAAACCCTCTTGAAAGGAAGAAAAGAAAAACCCCAGAAACTAGTGGCCCAAGAACAAGAATCAAACCAGACGAATGCGAATGGAATCGATCGATGCCCCAAAGGAAGTAAAGCGATTGGACAAAATGCGCACAAGAAGAGAGAGAGAGAGAGAGAGAGAGAGAGAGAGGTCGCGCGCGGAAACCTTGGAGACGACGTGCACGACGTGGGCGCGGTCGGCGGCGCCGAACGCGTCGACGAGCTCGCCGATGAGGAACGCGAGGAACGGCATCGCCACCCCGTTCGCCACGGCCGCCACTCCCCCCACCGCCATCAGCGCCGCGTCCAGCCGGTCCGCGAACGTGAACAGCCGCCGCATCGGCACCCTCTTCGCGCCGCCGCCGCCGCCGCCGCCCGCACCCGCTCCCCCACCCCCATCGCCGCCGCCTCCCCCTCCTCCGGCCATCTACCTCCGCGGTACACCGATCGGTCGTCCCCGCTTCACCACCACCACCACTCCACCACCTCCTCACGCCTCGCCTCGCGGCGGCCCAGGGTTGTTGGTGTGCTGCGGCGCGAGACCTGGAACGAGGTGGTGGTGCATGGGCGTGTGCCTAGTACTGCCCCCTGGGGCTCTCGGTGGGGGGTTTTTCTAAGCCGATGTCGTTCGTCCTCCTCCGTTCCCCTCTCGTGTACGCAACTGCGTGTACGCGTAGCAATGAGCCGGGTCGGGGGGTTGTTTTGCGCCGATGAGGTGGTGGTCGGAGCTCGCTTGTAGGGACAACAACATTGGCCCCGATTTTGAACGGGTTCATCCGTGCATGACGCATCGAGGACGCATCCGTGTAAAGTAACAGCTGGTGGCTCTAGCCTTTTTCCAATTTTAGCAATGACGGTACGAGGGCCATGACTATGATGAGCAGGGAGTAGCAAAAACACTAGACATACAGCAAAGACTATATCTGTATACATAAACACTACACTGTCTTTCATTATACGGTATGCCGTTTGCCTCCTTATCCTCGTCCCCGTCATAAGTTACATTTGCCACATCTCTATCCACTATCCTCAATTCCTCATCCAGTTATTTACAGGTTTACGTCTTCCTTTGCTCGTGCGTGTTTAGCTGTCATTTGCCTCATTTTTCCCGTCCTCATCCCCATATTGGTAGGTATTCAGAGGTGTAGGTTTCAATAAATTCTACATTACAATGAATTGAATAAATTATACATCAACAGTGCATAAACTTTTCAGGTGAGGGCAATATGAACTTGGTTTCTGTTTTATCTTTATTTGTTGCTACCCATTTATTATTACTTGATTTTCTATTTCTTTCTTTATGCAATTATTATGTCTTATTCTATGTTTTGCTGAATAAATGTTTGTCTAGGCGATATCCTTCTTACATACGGGTTTACATAGCAATCAAATCAACAACAATATCTACAAGATTAACCTTACCGTGCTATTTTGGCCTGAGCTCGCACGGACCAAACAAGTTTGTGTATCAAAACAAACGTTTTTACAAGTTCATACACTATGCTGCACCCACTGACAAGTTCATGTATGCTAATGCAATTTTATCTTTTAAAAATTACTCCTTAGATCACAAATTTTTAGTGTACGATAAGGATTCAATCCAACTTTAGTTTTAGCCATTGATTTTGAACTAACTTTATATCCCGATCCCAACTATTATAAAAATTGAAGATGTTTATACCGAAATTTTGGTGCGTCGCCATTGTCGGAGCCCGATTACTGTTTGTGCATTTCGTTTCCATATGCATTCGGTTTTCGTCAAGATACTGGTCACTCCCCATGGTAGGAAAGTGAATGGCATGTGCTGGGCCTCTTCTCCCCACGGTTGTTGAGGGTCCTTAAGTACCAAATCCGAAAATCAATTCCTGCAGCAAAGCAAATGAAAGAATATAAAATGAAGTACGGAACTTAGAGGTAATGGTTATTACTAACCATTTCCACAAGCCTTGGTGAATATTTGCATGCTGGTGAATTATGGAAGAAAACCACCCACCATGCGACAAAAAACACCTCCAAGGTACAACATGTTTACGCGGATTGGAGGCCCCACATGTCAATCAAAATCACCTAGAATTGAGCCCAACCAAGGTACAACATGTTTGGGGTCCACCAGGCAGTCTCCTAGCCGGAGGAGCGGCCGGGAGGTGGGTCAGAAGTTCGGCAGAACCACAAGGTCGGCTGAATTGACCTTGGCTCCCCTTGCCATCTGTTTCACATGTAGGTTCCTGATAACTCCCCAATGGCGGTTATGCATGGTTCCCGGTGGTTCCCAGGCTTAACCGACCTTTAAACCTTCATTACAATAGTAAATAAGGAAGAGAGAAGCTCTCACTCTCAAACATAAAACTCAAGTGGAGTACAACTCACTTTGATATTTAGGTTACTCTCTAGTTGAGTTAGAAAATAGGTAGAGAGTGAGGGGAAGCTTCGGAATAAATTGGAAGGATTGCCCCAGTTGTCCGACTTCTCTCGGGGAGTTCTGGAGATGTTGGCACTCTCTCTAGTGGAGTCCCGGAGGAGTGCCAGAGTTGTCGTCACTCTCTCCTCCGACTTGTACCTCGGCAAATGCTTTCTTCAATAAAGTAAGTATTCGAGATTTCCTTAGGGTATTTACTTTTCTTGTAAGATAGCTTCTCGGCATTGCAGGTTCATCGCTTAGTATTTATACTGAGTGCTCTAGTACTAAGACTCTGGATAAAGAAGGAAGTTCTTGGTCGAGGCTAGAGTAGTAACCGATAACGTAGATGTGGTGTCTAGGTTAGAAGTTACATTCGTTTGTTGTGTACTCCATGGAAAGTGAGGTAGACGGCATGTAGTGACAACTCTGTCTGTCCTTCATATTCATCCATGTTTCGGTACATAGAGCTATAGGCCGAACTTAGCTTGGCAGACCAGGGGAGAGCTGGTGCCTGAAGCAACTGATAGAGTTGTACCTTAACTTAATTAAGATAATTAACCCATAGGAATCCTTTCTATTCTAAGCATACCATTTAGTTGTTTTCCTTAGTTGAATCCTGATCTTAGATTATACCCTGTGATTCGATACCCTTGGAATACTCTAAGGTGAGGTGCTACAATGGTATCCGTGCGCTTGCAGATTTTTCTGTGACCGTAACAAATACCAACAAGCACTTCTGGCGCATCATCTTTGAACTTGGTTCATCCTCATATCTTTTCTGTATTCCCTTCTCTTCTTACCTACCATGGAGCATATATCCATTCAAAACCTTTCTGCTCCAAAGGGTGAGTTTTGTGAGTTACCTCCTTCAAAAGCAATTTGTTCATCTAGCTATGAAGTTCGTCCTGGCTTTATAGCCATGGTTCGGGAACAATCCTTCCCAGAGCGCGAAAGCGAAAATCCCTACCATTATTTGCAAGTGTTCGAGCACTTGTGTTCATGTTTGACAATCACGAGCATGACGCAAGATACCTTAAAGTGGAAATTGTTTCCCTTCTGTCTTATAGAGGGACGAAGCAATGGTACCCCCATACCGTGAGAAAATTGCATGGTGAATGGGAGGAATTAAAAAGCAGGTTTTGCCTGACTTTCTTCCCGTTAGCCCATGTAGTCTCTCTACGTACAGAGGGGCTCAGCTTCCAACAAAATGAGAAGGAATTCATTAGTGCAGCCTGAGCTCGGTTCTCCTTGTAAACTCAGGCCAGCCCAGACTTGTCTCTACCTGATCATATGTTGTTACAACACTATCTGCTTGGATTTAGACAAGGAGTCTGCTATGTATCTCGATACTTCCGCCGAAGGTTCATTCGCACACAAAATTACGTTAGAAGGAAGGAAACTCTTGGGTCGTATCCTGGAGAACACCTCTTTCGTTCATTGCAAAACCATCCCGAAAATCGAAGATACACAAGAGGAACCATCAACCGTCGAATCAGAGCATACATCCCCCATATCCAAAGATCTGACAGTTGAATCCTCACCCAAACCACGGACACCGGAGGAAGAAGAAATTCAACCTTTGGAGTTTCCTTTTATATTCTAGGATGATCTATATGAAAACCACAAAACACCTCGAATTTCTTCTGGCACAAGAAGCCTACGACACCTCCTCCTTCTCCCGATCCTTTGAAGGAACTTTTTCTCAACGAAACCTCGAAGACATAATGGTAGAAGGAAGGTGGATGCTCTTCCGAAGCAATTTAGATTATCTCGCCCTCCACATCCATTCCTTATTCTTTAAGGGGAGTTGCCGTAGAAGCCCTTCACAATCCCACTGTTGAGGCTAGTATCATGTATAAAATCCTCGCAAACATTCTCCCGGGCGGCTTGCCTCTAGCCCCAACTGACAAACTCTTCAAGAGCCCCTCAGGATCCATCTTCGAATGTCGTGGGATTGCAAGGGATGTGCCAATCAACATAGACAAAACCGAGGTTCACCTAGATTTCCACATCTTCTCAGTCCTTGATTTCGATCTTCTCATAGGTTACTCGTTAGAAGAACTTCACCGAAAAAGGTACTTCTCAAGGGAGCCTCGATGAAAAGATTGGGGAAGCCGCTTTCACCAGCTCTGCCTCTTGCTCAGAAAATCCAATGGCAAAGCTCCATCCCGAGCATAACCTGATTGAGAATGTGATGTTGTATGTTTGTTCGCATCACCCAATCATGTTTTGTTTAAGGGCAAAAAGCTTTTCACCTAAGAAGAGGACGAATCGGGAAATGAGACGGAACGATTGTCATCACCCTTGATCAAGTTTAAACCTCTTCCCTCTGGCCCACACAGTATGGTGTTATCAACGACAGTCAAAAGTCGATCATGATCTTTCCTGCTAATTCTCTTTGGAGGGAGAAGTCCTGGGCCATGGAAGAACTAAAGGAGCTGACTCTAGAATTCGACAGGAAGGGCTATTTAGATAAGCATGAAAGCTTCTTTCTTGAATATCAAGAACCTTGCTCTCTTAAGGTATCTTCAGAGTCTGCCACATTTTGTGCCACGAGCACATTGAACCACCTTAAGGTCCTCACCGGAAAAATGTTTAAAAGGTTGGTTGTAGATGCATTTGTTTATCATAAACATTGCAAATTTCGGGTTGCACCTATGGCACTAACCTTGTAGCTACAACTTCAACGATGAATCAACAATTGATGGTGAAGCTAGGGACTACATCACCAATGGTGGCTGCAACGTAAAGATTCCCCATGGTCGAGCTTTCGACCATAATCAAAGCACTACAGGAGGTAGCACGTACTATCATTTACCTTCATTAATAGAAACAAGAATATGTTTTTAGGATAAGTTTGCCCTCGAGTTTTTTTTTTGGTCACTAACCATTTCAGGTTAAGATTAAAAAGAATGATGGTCATGCGATGCCCAAGAACGCGGGAGATACGTCAATTGTAGCACCTCCATGCTTTTGATGATGGAACAAGTTCTGAAGGAGGCTGGAGCACCGCACACTTGATTTTTGGTGTCTTGAAACGCAAAAAATCCAAGTGTGGGGAGGTTGGTACGTATCTCATAAGAAGTTCCATTTATCCCAAAATTCCACTTTGGTTTAGAGATGATGTTTGTTCTTGTATTTTGCCTTGCTGAAAAAACTTTTTGTTTTGAAAAAAATGGTTTGAAATGTCATGCTTTTGGCATTAAACAAAACCCTACCGAGAGGTACCCGAAGTTCACGATTCAAATACTCATGTTTATCTCCATTTGAATATGACTTGATCATGCTTTTTTTAATCTATTATCGTATTCTTTGGTTTGAATGAATACACAAAGTCCATTCATAGGTTGTTTAAATTAAGCATAGTGCTTAGGTTACAAAGTCTTCTTTAATCAAATTAGACATGGTGTCGAGTTTGCTTAATGAACCTTAGAGTTAGTGCTGGTATAGATCTTGGTTGTATAAATGTTATAAGTCTTTAAGCTGATTCAAATTGGAGATAACCCAAGGCATTGGCAAAGTTGCACAAAACCCTCATGTGTTATGTTGAGGTAATTTTAATTCAACATTGTTTGAGTATAAGAAATTGGTTGAAAATAGTTTTTTTTAGAAAAATAATAAAATGATAAAAAATGAAAGGAGTCCATAGATTCTTAGGTCATGCAGGGTTCTATCGACGCTTTATTAAAGATTTCTCTTTGGTTGCTAGACCCCTAACTTGTCTAGGATGACCCCTTTAACTTATTTATTGATGAGTGCTCATTACCATTTAAACATACTGAAAGAAGCTCTCATCATCTCAGCGCCAATCATTCAACCCATTGATTGGAAGCTATCGTTTGAAACCATGTGCAATGCTATAGATCATGCTTTTAGAATTGTTCCCGGCCAGGCTTAAAGTGAGAAACACCATGTTATTGCATATGCTAATAAAATTTTGATTCAAGCTCATTTAAACTGTGTCACAATTGAAAAAAAGGGGAGCTCTTTGCCGTTGTTTTTGCTTTTGTAGCATACCCAAAAATTAGAATTTCAGTTTTTTGCATCTAAAATTTTTGAAAACAATTTTCCTAAATGGAAATTCTAAAATTTTCTATCTAAAGACCTAGATGAGACTAGTCTAACTTGTACACATAAGAAAAACTTGCAAATAAAATAAAACTTTCTCCATTGCTAATTCAAAATGAAATAGAAAACATAATATAGACTTGCATATACATAGTGCATTGTTATGGCTTGAGTCTTTTTGTGTTTTTGGATCTTACGTGCATAGCATACTAGGTCTCATGGATGTTAATTAAAAATTTAGGCAACTAATTTATTTTAAAAGATATTTGTGTTAGCTATTGGAAAATCATTATTTAAATTATACAACTTAAAAATACTACAATATGACCTAGGTCCAAATTCGTAAAAACTAATTTTGTAACATTCATATAAAGACATGCCCTGCTTATAAAATTCCATAAACACATTAACTCATTTGAATTTCATTTTACTCTAAAGTGTGTCACTTAAAGGTATAGTTTTCATAACATAATTATTAAATACACACAAATAATTTATGATATGTGCATGGTGAACTAAAAGTCAATCCTGAAAACATCAACACAGGTCAAATCTCTACTATTATAAAAATTGAAGATGTTTTTGCTGGTACTTTGGTACGTCATCTGGGCATGAGTCGGTTTTTAAGTTTGTTCGTTTTTGGAAATATATATATCCGTATTTAAGTCGGTTTTTATGTTTGTTTGCTTTTGTAAATACAAAAGGAATCGTATAAAAAATCTCTTTAAAAAAAACTCGCATGCTAACTTGACATGACTGCACTCCAAATTGCAGCTCATGATTTTCTATATATATATATATATATATATATATATATATATATATATATATATATATATATATATATCCAAACTAGTTCTCGTAGTAGATTTCACCTTAAATAAAATGTATAACAATAATAAAATTAAAATAGCCTTTACCCGTTGCAACGCCTGGGGAGTTTTTCTAGTATAACTCAAATATAACTTTTACAATCATTTATTTGTATTTACTCAATAGGAACAAGTATATAAACATAGGTTTGGTGAATTTCTAAAACTAATTGGTGCAATATAAAATCATGGAACAAAATTCACATGAGTACTATCCAACATGCACAACACACTGTAATTTTGACTTAATTTTCTCACTAAGCTTTGTACCTCAATAATAAATCATCTAAAACAACAAACTCTGAAAATTACAGATTCTCTGGAGCCTATTTTAGCTGTGTTGATAACTTGGGGTTGGGAACCCATCTCTTCCACACATAAAACATGGCTGTCCATTAGCGCGCGATTAATTAAGTATTAGCTAATTTTTTTAAAAAATGAATTAATTTGATTTTTTAAACAACTTTTGTATAGAAACTTTTTGTAAAAAACGCACCGTTTAATAGTTTGAAAAGCGTGCGCGCGAAAAACGAGGGAGAGTGGTTGAGAATCCATAGCACCGAACACAGCCTTTGGCACTATCCCAAAATTTGACCAAAATGATTTTTATGTGAAACTTGGTCCAAAGCATAGAGTAAGGGTTATACTACAAATTTACTGTTGACCACTGTATTAATATAACAAGGGCAAGTAATTAAACTTGGGGTCAAAGTTGGAACTTCACCACTGTCACAGGGCAATGTGGGACCCACTGATCAGCCCCGCGCCCCCGCCCACGACACCCCAGCGCGTAGCACGTGCGAGACACGCAGACTCCCCGCGTCGGAGCGCCGCTGAGCCGCCCTCTCCTCCATTTCGTCGCCGACCACTGTCTTCCTTCTTTACGCCCTCTTCTCATTTCACGGAAGAGCCGATACAATCCATCCTTGATTCGCCGAGAACGGAGGCATCTCCATGACTCCATCGGCGCCGGCAAGTTTTCCCGCTGTTGCCATCGCCATGGAGCCATGGTCGTCTCCATCCTTTCCGCGTTCCGTCATCCCTCTTCCATGCCGTTTCCATTCCTTTTAACTGCGGTTCAATTTGTGTAGCAAATCTCCGGGAACGCCACCGTGCCGACGACGCCCGGGAGCGCCCCGTCGTGTAGGACGGACGGGACCACCTCAAGCCAAACCGTTGCGCTACCATCATCGGCTCGCCATCACGGCCAAAAAGCCCTCAAAGACCTTCAAGATTGACGCACCAAGGACGGAGATCGTCGTCAACTTCTTCATCTCTGGATCCGGCCGCTGAGCTCCATCGTCGATTCCGGCCATTCCGGTGACCCCCCGTGGAGATTATGGATACCCCATACCTACACGACATGTATATCCGACCGGGTATGGAGTGCCATGTATAAGTAGAATATCTTTAAAGGGACCTGGGTTAAATTCTAAACTTGTATGTCAAGGAAATACCCGGGATCCTAGTCGGTTACGATTGTATCATATCTGTAACTACCTATTCCGTTAGGGATATGGACTGTACTTTGTAATACAGACCCCTTCCCCTATATAAGGAGGGGTCCGGGTACCTCTTGGGGCGCGATTTTCTCCTAGATCATACAATCAATAATACACTCGGCGGTTCAATCCCCGGACAGGAGTAGGATATTACTTCTTCTACCCTATAATTCACCAACTACCTCTTACATCCTTTATACTTCATTCATCATTCATCAAATCTAACGGATAGAAATCATCGAATCCAACCGCTCCTGTTGCCCCACGTCTCCCCCGCCTCCCCTTCTCACACCCCCTCACTCCCGAAATCACGCCGCATCCACCCGCCTCTCTCTCTCTCTCGCTCTTCTCTCCTCTCTCTCTCTCTCTCGCACTCACCCGACGTCGCCCCACCCGCGCGTCGCCGATTCCCCATACACGATTTCTCTCCTCTCCCGCGCCGCCCCTCCATCGTCGTCGCGTGAAGTCCTCGTCGCCACCGCCGCCATCGAATCCTGCCGCCCCGCCATCGCGCGTGACTCGGCTGCCATCGATTCCGACGCCCCGCCATCGCGCGTGACGCCGTCGACGCCCCTCCATCGCGCCGCCGTCAAATCCCGTCTCCAGATCGACGCCGCTGGTGCCCCTCACTCCAACCGCCATGGATCCCCCCTCACCCTCCCATCCTCTCTCCGCGCACGCCCCCGACCCCGCAGGTCGCAGACGCGACGCCTCCCTCTTCCTCTTGCACGCGCCGCCGCCGCCTTCCACGTCGTTGCCAACGGTGAGGTTTTGGCTCTTGTGCCTTTCATCTCCTTGGCTTATTTTTTGTTACATTGTTGGGTTGATTTGGTGCAGAATTGGGATCCACATTAGGCTTTTGTTCATCTGGTGTGCGGGCTTTTAGGAGGTTTTTTTTTGTGGGGTTTGCCTTTAGGGTTTTTCTGGGGACAAAAAGTTGAGGCGAAAATTCAGTTCAGGCTCGACAGTCATGCAGTTGAATGAGTTTTTATTTCATCATCATGTAATTCCCTACGAAACCTATTGATGATTGTGCAATTTTTAGAGCTAATTTCTTAATATCTTTGCAGCTGATGAATGCCTCATTATTTCAAAACAAAATACATCTGTTGATTTATCTTTTTTTCCTTTAGTTTCTGGATGGATTGCCATCGGAACCTTAGCTTATATCCGGTCTTCATGGAAGAAAGTGGTTTACATTAAATGGAAGAGAGTAGTATACCTTTCTACATATTGGTCTTCCAGATGATTGTGCAATGCAGTCACGAGTTCCACCTCGGTGAGCACCTTTCTAGCCCTCCTTGTAATTTTTTTTAGTCTCTTTGTTTAGTCCTTGCAAATCGTAGGCTGACATCGCCGTGATACATTTATCAGACCTGATCGTTATGTTCTATTCTTTTTCTTTTTTTTTCTTTTTGCATTGGATCAACGTGACGACACTTCATAATTAGGGATCAGCTGCATTATACGGGATCACGATAACAGAATCTATGAATCGTCCTAATATTAACTTATCAATGGCTATTATGCATCTGTTCAAAAGTGACTGAAATAAAGATAAAATAGTGCATAAAAATGAATATATACTGTGCCAGGGATAGAAGTTTCAGTTTTTTTATGTGTTTTGTGTGGGATCCACATTGTTCTTGATTTCGTTTTGGTTTCAAGTTTGTTGGTGCATGTGCATGTATATGATAACTATTGCTCCTCTATGACTGGGTCACTTTGACTTGCCTGAGAGCTTAAGTTTTAAATCCACTTAAATTTGTTCTGTGGATCCTTTTTCCCCTGAAATAATGGCAACTGCAGATCAATAATCAGTGCTTAAACTATTAAGTTCATTTATCTGCACACTTTGTTCTTGGAAGTCATAACATTAAATTCACCTAAAGTCTGCATATCTTTGTTGATAGGCACCAACTACTTCCAATCAAGAGGATTGCCGTTTAGTTCCTTGCTACTTCCAATCCAGAGATGGTGCCAGTGATACTTGCTGCTTCTTGAGCTCTTGCTACGGGTGCAAGCAATGGTCTACTCTTCCTGTGGCATATAGGTATAGCATATACTCTGCATTTTGATGCTTTGCATACGACTTTACTCATTAGTCAGTAACTCAATATATTCGCTTGATAATTTTAACATTTGATATGTTCCAAGACTTGACGGAGTAATTGGCCCAGATGATTAGCGCTTCATATTTTCAGATGCACATGTTACTTCCAAAACATATATGTACATATATATTTATACTTCACATCTTTTTATCCGGTCTGTACACAACTCAAGATATCTGTTTTGGGAGCTCTACAAGAGTACGGTCAAGATATCTGTAATAATGGTCATCATTTGAATAAAATTCATGTCGTTCTTTACATTGTGAATTTTCGTTTGTGTAGACCTGGGCATATTTGGCTTACTTTCAGCAACAGAAATAGAGTAGATCAATGATGGAATTGCATTCTACTGCTGTCCCAAAAGGTTTTTGATCGACATCTTCCAGTTCGATCAGATAATGGCGTTTGTTATGCCTAAGGGGCTATACCATGCATGGTGTTATCATTACCATATTTTCCAAGTTCTTGACAAAATTGATGATGCCACTGTATACCAGCCACCAGGTGCTCAAGAAATATGATGATGCCTCACAACAAGATTATCTATGAGACATCAGAGGTAAAATGAAATGTTCTGCTTAATATTGTCTTCTTTGTTTGGTAACGGACGTGGCTTATAGCCATGTTTGTTTTATGCATGTTTTGGAATAGTTCACGATAGCATTTCTGTTAGTAAGATATTCTTTGCATAATATTGATGAAAAGTGAGCACTGCAGTCTACAATTCAACAAATGAATGATTTTGTACCTTCATTTGCATCGGGATGAGGTTAAAATAATGAAAGTTTGCCTCATTGTCTAATTCTCCGGAAATAAAGTTCAGGATAAAAAACTGAAATAGAAGGACGTTTGCCTAATTTTCGCAGATTTAGGTGCTTAAAATATTTTACTGTCTAATGTCTGAAATTTCTATTGATGACCAGCTGAGCTCCATTAATGTTTCACATGGGCATTTCTGTTGAAATTGCTGTGAAGTTCACCTATACCGTTTAGCTAAGTGTGATGGTGGCTTACACTATATTTTCTGGTTATAAATTATAGAGGACAGAAAAGGCAGTTATGTTTATTATGCACCTTCATTTTACTAAAAGTTTTGCAGTCTCAATTGATTGGGACACTTGGAGCTACTTTAGCTATTTGGCACTGTTTTAATTTGGGTACAAGATTACAGATTCTAACTGGTCCTGTGCTCAATTTTCTGTTATTAATGAACTGCGGTTGACAATGAGTGATAGTCTTTCTTAGATTTCACATCTGAAATTAAAATGAGAAAGCACTGTGCACTCCACACAGTTTTTTCTGTTTAAAAAAGTCTGAATTGTATCACGGCGAGCATTTAAAGTAACTTGATACTGGTATATTAGTGAAGTGTATTAATTTGTGTTGCTGCCAATTTTAATACAATTCTCCTTTGCACAGTTTAAATCATGTTAAGAATCTGCAGCCAGATGCTTATGGAACTTTTTTTTAATGCAGGGTATTTTTGGAACTAAACATTCCCAGTAATGTCTTTTTTTTCTCTTTCAAGAGTTGATGCGTTAAAAGGTCTCCATAAAGATGCTAAGCTAAGTATGTTTTCTTTACGAAATTGCATATCGTTGCTTCTTTACTATGCCCTTAATTCAGATAGCCCTTAATTCTTTACTATGTCCAAAATTCAGATTAGCCACTTTTTACTATGAGGGAGTTTTAAAATTTAGATAGCTGTGGAGATTATGGATACCCCATACCTACATGGCATGTATAGTCCGACTGGGCATGGGGTGCCATGTGTAGATAGAATATCTTTAGAGGGACTCGGGTTAAATTCCAAACTTGTATGTCAAGGAAATACCTGAGATCCTAGTCAGTTACGATTGTATTTTATCTGTAACTACATATTCCGTTAGGGATATAGACTGTATTTTGTAATACGCTTCCCCTATATAAGGAGAGGTCCGGGTGCCTCTAGGGGCACGATTTTCACCCAGATCATACGATCAATAATACACTCGGTGGATCAATCCCCGGACAGGAGTAGGGTATTACTTCTTGATTAAGAAGGCCTGAACCTGTATAACATTCCTTGTCTCTAAACCCATCCACTTTTCTAGCTTGATAGCCACCCCCTTTTAGTATTGCCGAAATCTTGTTTCGACAGTTGGCGCGCCAGGTAGGGGTAGCGTCAAGTTCTTCGCCGACTAGTGCGATCGGTTTCATTTCCGGCATCGACGACTTTGTCTTCCCTCCCGGGCAGGCGTTCCGATTCGGCAGCCTCGACTTCATCACCAATGACTTCGGCAAGATTTCTCTCCTCGACTCGGATTCAAACCAGTCGGGAAGAGGCCAGATCTCCGCCCCGTTCGGTATCCCGAACTCGGCCGAGGTCTACCCCAAGATCATCTCCAGGCGCAGCAGACTCTATATCATTCATGAGACCGAGCTGTACAAGAAAAGTCCATCGGGAATCCTGCAACGATGTGTCTTTGGAGGAGGGAAGACAATTGCTAAAGGACATACATTTGGGCATCTGTGGCAATCACGCTGCTGCACGAACCATCGTTGGCAAGGCTTATCGGCAGGGTTTTTTTTGGCCCACAGCTGTGTCCGACGCCGACAAAATTGTGCGAACATGTGAGGGTTGTCAATTTTTTGCCCGACAAACTCATCTACCGGCTCAGGAGTTGCAAACCATCCCGTTGTCTTGGCTGTTCGCGGTTTGGGGGCTCGACATGGTTGGCCCATTTAAAAAGGCTATCGGTGGTTATACTCATCTCTTTGTAGCCGTTGACAAATTCTCCAAGTGGATCGAAGCTAAACCGGTCATTACAATCACGGCAGACAAAGCTAGAGATTTCTTCATCAACATTGTGCACCGGTTCGGGGTACCCAATCGGATCATCACTGATAACGGCACTCAATTGACAGGCGGAGTATTTAAAGATTTCTGTGAGGACTTCGGCATCAAAATTTGTTACGCCTCCGTAGCGCACCCCATGAGCAATGGACAAGTTGAACGTGCCAATGGTATGGTACTTCAAGGAATAAAAGCGCGAGTTTTCGACCGACTACATCAATATGCCGGCAAGTGGGTAGAACAGCTGCCGTCCGTACTTTGGTCCCTGCGCACCACTCCCAGTCGAGATACGGGCCAGTCACCGTTTTTCATGGTCTATGGAGCGGAAGCAATGTTGCCAAGTGAGGTGGAATTTGAATCTCTACGATTTCGTAACTTTAGCGAGGAGCGCTATGGAGAAGACCGAGTAGATGACCTCAACCGACCGGAAGAAGCCCGTGAAGCAGCCTTAATTCAGTCGGCTCGGTACTTGCAAGGGATGCGCCGTTATCACAATCGTAATGTTAGATCACGAGCTTTTTTAGTCGGCGACCTGGTTCTGAGAAAAATTCAGACTACACGGGATCGGCACAAGTTATCTCCCTTGTGGGAAGGACCGTTCATAATTTCCGAAGTCACTCGGCCAGGTTCTTACCGACTCAAGCATGAAGACGGTACCCATATCGACAGCTCTTGGAATATTGAACATATTCGTCGTTTTTACGCTTAGACATTACTTTTGTATTTCCCTCTTTGACTGCTAACATCAAGTTTTTCCTTGAAGTTATCAGTTGGGGGCTACTATAATAATAATGGAGTGTGATTTTTATCAATTCAATTTGCTTACTTGATTTATCATTGCCTTGTTTGATTTTTTGGCTTAGTCAATGAGGACTGAAAGTTTTTAACAACTTTTGCGGGTTCTAGGCTCAATAAGGTTTAACAAAAGCTTTTAAGAAATCGGGAGCTAAGTTTGAAATATCAAGCACAGCATAAATTCATCAGTATTGTACAAATTGTGCCTCCATTCATCATCATCATCATTGTTATAATACAACATCAATCAGTATCAGTCTTTTCATCATCAGAATTATTAGATCCAGTCGGCCGGAGGTTGTTGTCCTGGAATCTCTCAACTACATCAACGGCTATCTTATCGGCAGCTTTTTGCGCATTGTTGATGAGGTCGAGAGCGGCTTCTTCGCTTGTCCCGTCTGCAAAGCCATCAACGGCGTCAATGTCAATCTTCGGGTACAAGGACTTGGTCATTGCCAACGCCAAGCTCGCTCCCATACTTCCAGCTTCCTTGATATTCTTAAAATATGTATCCGGAGCAATTCTCAGCTTGTCGAAGATTTCGGAAGCATCAAATGCACTCGGACCATTGTTATTGAAGAACATGGCTTGGACGAGTGGTGTAGCGGCATTGGCGACTTCATCTCTGGCTCCTTCAAGCTTTTTGATTTTGTTAACTAGGACGTCGAATTGAGCTTGGGATTTGATCTTGCGGTCTACACGAATAAGTCTACATCAATGACTAGGCATGAAGATGAGAGTGGTTTTTGAAGTATTAGTTACCAGTACCTTCGACATCTTTCAGAGCCGAGTCCCTTTGTCTTGCCAATTCGGCCTTATCTTTCTCCAGAGCTTGGATCCGCTTTTCCAGCTCGGATATCTTGGCAGCTTGCACTGTATTGCTTCTTGTTGGTTGATATCACATGGATGGCAGCATAAGTAAGTTAGACAAAGATTGTATTTACCTTTTGATGAACCGTTCAGTTCAAAGTTGGAGTCTTGGAGATCGGCGATCCGGTCTCTCAGATCATGCTCAGTCTTCCTGGCGAGCTCCTTAGCTTCGTGCAGCTGGTTTCTGGTGGCCTCAAGGGTTCCAAGATGGGGAACTAATTTCTCAAGAGTCGCAGTCTTCGCCTCGTTCCTGAGATGGATTCTCTGCAATGCAAATTTATCCGTATTTGAGCAAAGCGGCTGACAGGATGGTTGAAGCTGTGTACAAGAAAATTCACATTTACGAGGCGAGTAGCTTGGTCGAGTGTCTTTTTCAGCAGGCATACTTCCTCGTCTTCCTTTTGCTTATTTATTACAATTCCCTGTGGGTGCATGTCGTCATCCCACCACTTGACTAAAATGGGTGGGCGAGAATTTTCAGCCGATTGTATCCGGAGAACCTCTTCTTCATCACCAATCATCGGACCTTAGATAGTCATGAATAATGAGTGAAGTAATTGAAGAAAGTTTGTCGGATCAAAACAGGTTCGGAGGATATGTTTACCTGTGATAATTTCCGGTCGAGGACGAGTCTGTCCTTGCACCCTAACAGGAGAACTAGTTCCAGGGCTAGCACCGGTGTCTGTCTTGGGAGGGCTGTTAGCTTGAGCTTCTACTTCTGGGATATCTTTATTTGGTTCTGTACCCGACTGGTTTCCAGTCGGGGGCTCCTGATCAGCACCGACTCCAGCTACGGCCGATTGGTTTCCAGTCGGGGGCTCGTTGCTGGGTTCTACATTGTCGGTTGCCGGTTAATTGTCACTCGGGTGATCTTCTGCAGTCGGCCCGGTTTCTTTTGAAGGGCCCATATCTGTGTCAGTTGGCTCAGGGTCTTTTCCAGAAGGATCTATGTCAGATGGCTTCCTACAAATTTGAGTTATGCTATCAGTGCTATTTCAATAGTGAGTGAGCAGCAATACAAGGAACAAGAACAAATGATTTGTACCTGGAGGATTTCCTGATTTTCGGCATAGGATGACTGGAGGTTTTCTTCTTCGGGTTAGCTTGCCTTGGCTGTTTCTCAGTCGCACTTTTGTCGCTTGCCTTTTCCACATCGTTGCCCTCATCGTCACTTGAAACCAACTTCCTCTTACGAGAATCTGGCTGGTTAGTCGGCTTCGAGGTGTTGGGTTGGATGTTCGACTAGATCTTCGGCCCTCCGCTGGCTTGGCTGGTTTGCCGACGAGGTGAGCGTCGTTGAGCAATTGGAGGATCAGATTTCATCAAAGCAAATTCCTGTGCATGATATTCCAAGTTTTCAGTTGACCTTACAGAAGATAAAAGCATGCTTTGGGAGGAGCTGAGTTGTATAATACGTACCGGTGGAGGAGGGTTGAAGGCATTGTATGGCACGACTGGCAATAAGTGTGAATAGCTGACCACGAAGGCATTTGAGAATATTTTGTACATTCTCTCCTGCATAATTCTGAACTCAAGAGACTCTAGGTCCTCTCGGTTGGGGTCATGCTTGCCGTCGAACTCGAAGGCTGTTCTGGATCTTTCTTTGATTGGGGCCAGCCGGCTCTTGATAAAGTGCCGAGTGATTTGTTCCCCTTGCAGGCCCTGTTCTTTAAGTTTCAGCATCCTATCCAGCAAGTCAAGCGCTTGGGCAGCTTCTTCTCCCATAGGAAGTGAGTTCCAAGTATCACGATATACCGGAGGAAGACAAGAGTACCCGGGAAGCGCTGGCTCAGGGTTTTGTACATAGAACCAATTTGCATGCCAGCCCTTGTTTGAGGTTTTGAAAGGCATGGAAAAATATTTTTGGCTCAAGGTTCCCCTAAGTTGGAAGCCAGCCCCCCCCAACAACACATGGTTTGCTCTTGTTTGGCTGGGGCTTGAGGAAGAAGATGCGGCGGAATAGAGCAAAATGCGGCCTAATCCCCAGAAAAGCTTCGCAGGCATGGATGAAATTGGCGATGTGGACTATGGAATTGGGGTTTAGGTGATGCAGGCTGATCCCATAGAAATCCAAAATTCCCTGGAAGAAGCTTGAGGTTGGAAGAGAAAACCCGCCATAGAAGAAATGAGAAAATACCACGATCTCATGTCTGTCAGGGGTTGGGAATGCTTCGCCGCATGCTGGACGCCACCCAATGATCTCCTTTGCCGGAAGAACACCGTGCGCCACCATCTCCTTCAGGTTCTCCTCCGTTACATCGGAGGGCGCCCACTGACTCTCAAAGCTCTCTCTCTCTCTCTCTCTTCCGCCATGGATGCGATCTGAATGATGCGATTTGCTTTGGAAATGGCTGACAATGGATGGGGGATCGATGCGGTGGATGCGCAGATGATTTCTGTGGAGTTTTGTAAGGTGGATTTGAGCGAATTGGAGAACCCTAGTTCCGCTGGAGTGGTTTTGCACTGTAGCAGGAAATGGGGAAAGTGGCGAGAGTCTCGGCGGGGAAGACGAAACGACGCTCTGACTTCGGCGTTTATTTCGCTAGGGTATCGGGAGTGCTAATGGGCTTGGGCCTTTACAATACTTCAGCCCAATTCTGTTATCTGCGTGGCTAAGTTGTGATCCGTAGGGACTTAGGCATTTTTGCTTCGGCAATTTTTGCTCACAACAGCATGGCCCAATGCTGTTAAAATCCTTTTTGACGTAGTTAGATAATTCCTTGGAATTACAACGATGCAAATAAAAAGGTACCCGACAGAAAGGTGTTATACTACTTTTGTAAGCCTTTTTTAGGCTGCAAAGGCTGTTTGGGTTTTTGTTGAGATGATTGGTTTTTGAACAGTTATTCTCTCGGCATGCTATATGCTTGATTTGATTATGGCGTGAGTCATAGCCTAGGCTATTTCGACTCATTAATTGTCATGATATCATGTTTATATCACACTTGATGGATCTTTTTGAGAGTTTTTTCTCAGATTCTTGTCATATGTGTTGATTTATAGACCTTTAGAGTATTTTTTACTCGGGCCTCTTTATATCTTCGTTCTTGGTATATTAAAGCTAAAGCAGTCGGCTGTATGTTTTATTAAACATTGCATATGCTTAGCTGTACGGTACTTTGGGTAATTCGGTTGTAAAACCACTCGGATGGATATTATTTGCAATTCGACTATATGTTTAGCCTTTAGCTATTCACATAGTCGGGGGCTACACCTAATTAGGTGCATCTATTCGATGCACCTGATTATTTATTTTTAGCCCTTCACAGTCTTTGATTTTGGTACTCGGGAGATCAATGCAGAAGAAATTGAAGCACCCGGATTATCATTTTTGCGCTCTGAGAGAAGGATATTTCGTGGACTGTAAAGGTCTCAGGGGCTACTGTGGAGATTATGGATACCCCATACCTACATGGCATGTATAGTCCGACTGGGCATGGGGGGGTGCCATGTGTAGATAGAATATCTTTAGAGGGACTCGGGTTAAATTCCAAACTTGTATGTCAAGGAAATACCTGAGATCCTAGTCGGTTACGATTGTATTTTATCTGTAACTACATATTCCGTTAGGGATATAGACTGTATTTTGTAATACGGACCCCTTCCCCTATATAAGGAGGGGTCCGGGTGCCTCTAGGGGCACGATTTTCACCCAGATCATACAATCAATAATACACTCGGTGGATCAATCCCCGGACAGGAGTAGGGTATTACTTCTTGATTAAGAAGGCCTGAACCTGTATAAAATTCCTTGTCTCTAAACCCATCTACTTTTCTAGCTTGATAGCCACCCCTTTTAGTATTGCCGAAATCTTGTCTCGACAATAGCCCTTAAATCTTTACTATGCCTAAAATTCTATACAGATAGTGTATTTTGCTCCATACACTTTTGCCTTTTCAATGATTAAAAGGTTTATTTTTCACACCCTTTCAGATTCAGAAATCGCTGGGTGATCTTGAGGGTATATCTTCCAAATAAGTGGAAGACAAATTAAGGTGAAATTAGGGGGGGGGGCTATGATAACTAGAGGTAATTTCTACTCTGATCTTGAAATGGACTGCAAGAACAAAACATGAGCACGTGCTATGGTTGGAGGAAGGACACTTTATATATCAGATTGCTTCATAACATAAATACTTATTTCTTGGTGCTTGAAGGACCAAACCACCTCATAGTAAAAAGATGCTGATCTATTATTGAGTTGTATATTCAAACAAAAAGAATAAAGTTCGATGAAAAACAGCATTACCTTGGTTTTTATATTATGATTCTTAGCTAAAGTTTGGTAAATTTGCTCATGTTTTCAGCGATTCATTTTATTTGTAAATGGACTCTGGTTTTTTTTGGTACAACATTTTGTATTAGGGAAACAATGAAAAGCATTTTTCAGTGACGTGGATATACAACATTTGTAATATCAAATGCGACCGTAGCGTTAGCACGGGTATGTTACTAGATAGATTAGTTTAGTTTTAGGTTAAGAGAATAGAGAGGTGAAAACACCTCATCAAAGTTTGAGCCCAAATATTGGTTCAGGCCACCTTGTACACATACTAGGCAATAAGGTTGTCATTTGTTATGTGTAGTTCTACAAATTCAAGCTTGTATCATATTGTTGTAGGCAAGGTTACCGACTCTGTATTTGTTAGCCATCTTGGCCTTGTTTTGTACATGTTGAGAAGATTGAGAAAATTTTCAATTGACGTTTCAAGAAACTGCTGGTTCAAGAATTGTTCTCAGTGAAGATACATTGTTCATTGTTGCATGTATAACTTCACATTTTGGCATTTTCTGTTGAAACTCAATTAGTACAAATGTTGTTTATGAGACCTCTGATTCACTAAATGAGGTGCATTTCTGCAATAATATTGGTGTTGATGCGGTGGACTGATGAAAGCGAATTTATTCCTTAGAAAGAACAGCAAAATTACTTCTGATTTTGCATGTTTCATCTTGGTCAATTAGCTTCAGTTAATCATCATCTTTAGTTTATAATGGTCATTTTCTTAAAACAATTGTTCCCAACTCTTACTACTATTCTGCTTATATATAATTGTTGATGGTTTTCAATTAATTTTATCTGACAATATGATTTTTTATATTGCTTTACATATATTTGATATATAATGTGAATAGAAATAAAGCTCAATTGGACTGATTGAGAGTAATCCATCCTGCCATCGGCGCTTACTCCTGTGCTCAATGGGAGCTCAATGACGTGAATCGAAATATTTTTATAGCTCCGTAGCGTTAGTACGGGCATATTACTAGTGTTAAAGAAGGCCTGAACCTGTATAAAAAATCCTAGTGTCTCAACCCATCCACTTTTTCAGCTTGATAGCCACCGCTTTTAGTATTGCCGAAATCTTGTTTCGACACCCCCGCTGCGACTTTTTGCATAGGAAGCGTCCCTAAGACCTCGCTAACAACGTGTGACCACATGCATGCCAGTTTGATTTGTAGATCGAGCCGTCGACAAACTCGACATCTACCCGGAGTTCATCCTCTCCGCCGGGCTGTCTTCTCCATACTCGCCTCTATTCAGACCTGTCCAAGCCGCCACTCAAGCTTCGGTGAGCTTCCCACCACTCCTTGATACCACATGCACGCATCGTTTTGGTCAAATGAAGCTAATAACTTGAATTGCTTTGGCAGCCTCAAAACCGTCGCCGCTCGCACTGCTGCCGGCGTCGATTCCGTCCATCCCCGGCGACGAAACTACCTTCGGCGGGTTCGCAAGAAATTCCTCTACAATTCTTCTTTTGGTTGCGTCGGCCGAGGAGGCGCCGTTCGCCGTCGGGATCGCCGAAAAGTAGCGCCGGCCAGTGAGCTCGCCTCTGCTGCTGCTCTCCTTCCCAAGCCTATGACTGGTGGACCCCACTTAATTAAGCCTAAGAACTGTTATTAGGAGTAGTTTAAAACTTATAAGGTTAAATCTGAAAAAGCACTTAGTATGACATGTGGGCCCAGAACCTATATTTGTAAATAAGAAAAACAATGAGAACACTTAATAATAAGTGTATTAACACGTGCTAGAGGAGTGCGGGTTGATTTCAGGGTTTTCCAGCGGCCTTTCTGACAAAATACCAGTCACTGGCTAGTGGACCCCATGTACCTAAAATCTGGAAAAATAAAACACTCACAATTATAAAATCTATATAAAATTGAATATAACACATTTTGAGATGAAACCAATTTTTATAGATTCACAGAATCATGATATTTAATGTTGTAAGCTAAAACTGGGCCCTTACAGCATAGTAAATAGCTTTAAAAGTTCATATATAAACTAGATGACATAAAACATGCTTGAACTTTAGAAATTCACAGGAAATTCATATTAGTTCCAAATATTTTGAATTCAGTTTTGTTAGGCTAATAGAACCATTCAATTCAATTAGCAAAACAATATGTAATACACTTTGTACAAAAGAAGTCTCTAAAATCTAATATATGAAATTGTTGACATATACCACACTACAACTTGTAAAATGCATAATAAAATAGTACAAATGTCTACACTTATGTTTGCATCTATGTCCTAGGTTAGAGATGAAAAAGGTTTTAATTTATCCTCAAATTTTATTCAGGTTCAAGTTAGATTGACCACACCTAGGTTAAAATGTAAATTTTTGGCTCTCAAAAATGGAAAAGTTAACTTCCAACTATTTTGACAAGAAATCCTTACGGTCTAGAATTCGGGTATGTTACAAAATTCTTTCCAAGTCAACCGGAATCGACCGAACAAGTTGACGTACAGAATATGTCCCAGTGCTGCATCACCGTATTTGGGCCTTTGGGCCGTGTCGTGTTGGAACCCATTAGGGTTGCGTCAAGGGTTGGTTGCACGACCCTAAACTCTATATATCAGTACCCGCCGTCACCTTTAGGGTTCGCGTTTTGCTTAGATTATTCTGTCAAGAACAGTTTTACCGCTAGATCGGTTTGTAAGACCCCAACTTGTGAGCTTAATCATTCATCTACAATTTTAGTTGTATTCTTCCTTGTTCTTGTTTGTGTTCTTCAATTCACAAACAGGGATTAGCCTTCTCGGTGAGGTCATCCGTGTTTCGACACGGGTGATAACCAGAGGAGACATGGTACTGCGATTGCGGGGCTCAAGAGCGTGTTCGTTCAAGAAACCGGATCGATTTGTGTCGCGACTCCGCCAAATCGTCGATTATGAGAACCTTTCGGAAGATCGGGAACCCTAGTCCACATGATAATCTTCCCACGAGATTAAATAAATACGATACCCTTGGAATACTCTCGGGTGAAATGCTACAATGATATATCCGTGCGCTTGCGGATGAAATCTATAACCATAATATACCACAAGTATTTCTGCGCCATTGCTGGGAATTATATTTCTAGGAATGTCGTTAAGAAATATCAACAAGCATTTTCTGGCGCTGTTGCCGAGGAAGATTTATAAAAGAGATTACTATAAGCTAATACTTTATATTTACATCTGTATAGTCACTGTCCTTTGGAGGCTAACCTTGGTTGTTTTCACTTTTGTTGTGAAAACAGGGTAGTGTATGACTAGTTTCAACTTGTCAGAAAGTTTCAAAGAAAATCTAGAAGTTTTCTTCCGAAGCGTCAAGCTGCGAGTCGTTCCTCCGCAAAAAACTCTCCTGAGAAAGAAACCAGCCATCCCAGCGTCATCGAGCTTCAAGACAATGGCCGAGAAGACCCTTCGCGAGTTCGCTGCCCCCTCAGCTGAGAATGTGCCCGTTGGGCCTCAAATCAACTTAGGAGACACGGACTTCGATCTAAAGTCTAGCCTTATCACCATGGCGCAGGCTAGCCTGTTCTGTGGCAAGCCAAACAAAGATGCCAGTGCACACTTGCAACAGTTCCAAGAGATCCGCAGCACATATACAGTGAAAGGTGTTAGCCCAGATGCCGTCAGGATCAGGTTGTTTCCCTTCTCCCTCTTAGGGAAGGTGAATGCTGGTATTTCTTAACGACATTACTAGAAATATAATCCTCAGCAATGGCGCAAAAATACTCGTGGTATATTATGGTTACAGATTTCATCCGTAAGCGCACGGATATACCATTGTAGCATTTCACCCGAGAGTATTCCAAGGGTATCGTATTTATTTAATCCCGTGGGAAGATTATAATAGAGAAAACTATACTAATAATTTATATATTACTTGTAATAATCAAAGTCTAAGCAAGGGTTAAGATAATGAATAGGGTAGAGTGACACACAACAAGAGAACTATATACTCTCATAATAAATCATCTAAGCTAAGCTAACCCGTATTGAGCTGTCACCATCAGCGGCCCACCTCGACATATTCGCAGCATATAACCCAAAATAATGATATCCAGAAATCTAAACACCACGCTTAAATCCGTCATATAATTGTGCCTAACCGAACATACCCACCTCCGGTTTCACCCCCTCCTTATGCCAAGTCGGGCAGTCCCCTCTCGTGCCTAGGTAAATCCGGCTACAGCAGAGACCAAAGCTAGGTCCAAACTGCACCATCTCATCTACCCTTACCACGGTATGTCAGCTAGGTTAAGTTATACTCTAGATTCAGCCTGGAGCCCATCTGTCCTGTGGTGAGTACGAGTATATCTTCCAGGGATTCCCGAAAACCAGTCCTTAATTGTCATGGGCATGAGTTCCAGAAATCATGCATGTACCCACGACCCACCATTGAAGCAAATTTTAGTTTAATCAAACCATAACCATGGTGGTACATCAAAATATAATTAAGGACTAAATTATAATGAATGCCATTGTGAGCTAGTTGATCTAAGCATGGCTAAACATTCCTAAACCAATCATCTAGTCAAATATAACCCAAGCTATCAATGGCATAAGATAATCCATAGGATGAGAATAATAGGCATCCATCCCACATGACATTCTAAAACAATGAAATTTGATAGAAAGCAGGGGATTTTGTAAAATAGGCTCAATATGACCAATGATGTATGTATGACTTGCCTTGCTCTTGAGCTGACTAAACCTCGGCAACCACTTCGAAATAAACTGGATCACTAGAACTAACGGAATCTAAACGACAAATAAAGCACACAAGAAATACAAGCAATAAGGCTACTGAAATAGTAAAAGAAACCAATTTTAATGGATTCTATACATTTTAATGGATTCACTGCAATTTGAATGGATTAAAACGGAGCTCGGATTATTCAGTTATGAATTTTACAAGATGAGCTGCATTATTACTAATAACCGAAGAAACCTTTGTCAATTATTATATATTATTGCCCAAAGATAAAAAGATCAATGGAAATAAACCTCCGATAAGCAAGCGTCACGAGTTAGTGACTCAACGAATCAACTTATCGTGCCACGGGACCATCCAAACGGTCTACCGAACCGGCGAACGGAACCGGTGGCTCAGAACGACAACGGGAAACTAAACACGGTTTATGACAGGGACTCGTACGGCAAACGACAGGCCGGTACGAGTTTAGGGCTGCGCCTAAGGCTTTGCAAATCAAGTACCGAGCAACGGCACAGCGGCAAACCACAACGGTGATGCGGGAGGATATAAATTCCTACCAGAGCCAAAAATATTCATACAGATTAAACCCTATACATTTTGGTTGCTCGTAATTCCATTAAACTTTGTCAAATCTTTGTGACTTCTGTAGATACTTTTCATGCTCTATGATCAATATATTATGCACATGCTAAACTTCTACACTAGAAGCTAGCATTTATCCATTCCATCTTTATATCCACCATACCATCATCAAAATAAATTATCCATGATTAAAAATATGCTTTCTTCTCCTAAAAAGAAAATCCTTTCTGAAAAACAAAAGAGAAGGAGGGAAAGGCATGGTTATGAAAGTAATAAACTTATGCTCTCTCAAAATATTGAGCATGTTGATGAAAAAAAAGGAGAATAGCCATGCCCTCTCCTTATTTATAAAAGAAGTATTTTGGAGAAGAGAGTGAGCACAAAGGAGAAGCATTTTCTTTATTTTCCACATTTCATTTCCACCATATATCACACACACACTTTGCACGATCTTGATCTTGAGTATGTCTAGTCATCTATTTTAGTCCAAGTTTTTGACTCAGTAATAAATGTGAATACAAGTATGCCATGTTTGATCCGAGCTAGTGTAGTAGGAATAGAATAGGAGTCTTAGTCCGAGAAGTCTTCGAAAGGATTCGGGTATGGCTCTACTAGCTCTGCTCTCTTTTGTAAAACTTGTACTTTTATTAGATTATTCTTCTTTATACCACTCTGGTATTGTATTACTTTCCGAGTATATGAATACCAACTTTATTATACATCCAAACTATATTGATTATCATGCTAGCTTATCTGGGAAATGCAATGGTGTGGGTATAATGATCGTTTATATGATTGCTCTATGTCATGACGATGATATTAGAGTAGTATTTGGTAATTTAAGCATGGTGTTTAGATTACTGGATATCGTTATTTGGGGTTATATGCTGCGAATATGTCGAGGTGGGCCGCTGATGGTGACAGCTCAATACGGGTATTCCTCCGCACGTGTACATAGTCCTTAGTTACTTTCCTGTGGAGGGTACTCCTCCGTATTTATCCCCGGTTGGATGGTCATGACGAATTATCGTAAGAAAATCGACAATCAGGGGTGGCTTCTCAAAGCACCAGTAGGGCATTGGGAAGAGGGTATTAACTAAGTAATCATATAGCTAGGATGTGTGTATAATGTGTATGTATATTAGAAGTGTAGGAATAGATTCTTTCTGTTTTCTTTCCATTTAGCTTTGATTATTACAAGTAATATATAAATTATTAGTATAGTGAACAATGATCACGTATGAATGTTTGAATTTCCAAAATTTGCATTTAGATCTGAATTTTGAGGTATTCCTTCCAAATGAAATTTCCAGAGCAAAATAAAATAAAATTTTCAACGAAAATTTGCTGTGCCACGACCACATTGACCGTTGGATTCCAATCGCCAAAAGTGGGGCCGATTGGGCTCACTAGGGGTTCGGCCGAACCCCGAGTTCGGACGAACTGGCCAGGCA